TTGCTTCATGAGCATTCAAAGCAAAAGTACTAAGAACTCACCTTTTGGTGACTTGAGAAGGCTGACACTAGGCTCAATTTTTGTCCAGTCAATGTTTTCTTCCTCTGGTGGATGTTCTACCATCAGCTGAAATAACTTCATTGAGATGATGTCATGATTGTCTAGGAAACAAAGACATCAAGTTGCAGTGTGGTGGTACAGCTTATTTAAAATGCCATCTCTTAGAGAAAGAAGACTTTTTTTAAATAAAGAAGCTATTAATTCAGGAAGTTGACTTAAGATCTCATAGTACCCAGTTCAATAGTACAAATGTATTGTCTTTACTTTACCTAAAAATGGCTCTACTTTACCTATAACAGATCTAGGCAACAGAGCCAATTCCACCTTTTTGGCAAGCAGCCCTTACCAGATAGATCGCCTGTACCAGCAGAAGCCCCAAAGAAGTAACCAGTGGGCAGGCGGACTCCAGCAACATCAAAGCAATTTTTCCATTCATTTTTGTCTTCCACATCAGTCATCACCTGCAAAATAAGTGACATCTTGGATGCGAAGAACAATCCAAATTTCACTCTCCCAACCACATAAAGAACCTTACAAGCACACTAGAGCTTCAATTCTGAGGAAGAGAAATTAACCATACCATACTATATTGTCTAGACAATCTGTTCTATATTTTGTATCTTGCTACCTTCCCCAAACTGGACCTCTCCAAATGTCGTGGATTACAGCTTTCATCATCCTTGACCATTGACTACCCCAACAACACCTACTGGAAGCTGCTTTGCAGGCATTGTTGATTCCCATTGCATAGCTTTTCCCAAACACCCAACTAGGTGGTTGTCAGGCACTTGAAAACCACTGTACGATGCATTTTGCAAACTCAATTCTTGGTACTTCCAAATGATTGAAAGGCGAGTTGTCAAAATTGGCCCACAGAGTTGCGGGAGAAAGATATGAATCTGGCCCACTGGGACAGAAAAAGGTTCCCCACCTAAGGCAACCCATGAAGAATGCACTCAACGTAGTACCCCAGCCAACTTACTGTCAGACGTCCCCGGGAGTAACGGATAGCCAAAAAAGTGTCATGGTTCCGATTACGAATGTCAGCTGTGCAGCCTGCCAGCTCTGTCCAGCGACCATCTTTGCTATGGTCGTATGTCAGGGATCCATTGTTCACCATGGCAGAGATGTATGGAAACACACGCTGCACAATAAAAGTAGCATGGTTTTAAATCTTCTGCATGTAGCTCTTACCCTAAATACTTGTGAAGCAAACATATATACATATGGAAGCTCCACTTGTCTGTGAGACAATTCCAGTTAGTTAATATTAAACCCCATAAAGTTGTACCTTGGACCCCAAATGCCTTGCGAGTCGAACATTTTGGCTTCCGAATGCAGCAAACCCAGAAGTGAATATTCCCATTTGGAAAAGTTCTTTGGAACTCAAACGTCCTACACAGCTTCTGATTGGCTGCAGGAGCTTCCTGCAGCCAATCGGAAACCACGCCTTGGTTTCCGAACGTTTTGGAAGTCAAATGGACTTCTGGAACGGATTCCATTCAACTTCCGAGGTACGACTGTACTTGGCTTGCAAGTACAAGTACAAGCAACCCTCAAAGCCAGTGTGTGTCATTACTTACCTCTGTAGCTTCATCATTTGGGTAAGTGTCCAGGAAGATGGCCAGTCCATGGAAGTTATCTTTGCTGCCATAGACAGGGCCTGAGCAGGACAAAGCAGAGTATGGTGACTAGAACTGCATCCTTGCACCACTGAACAACATAATCCAGCCTAGCAGAACTCTACAGATTAATCTGTAGAGAGCATCATTACTTCCATACAGTTTGAAGCACTTGAATGTTGCCAGCAAACATTGTAAGAAAGGTTGTATTATTTTCAAACATTCTGCACAAATAATATAACTATGATGAATGTCCCCCAACTTCTCGAACAGCAGCTTTTCTACTATGGCACATGCATTATCTCCTATAGAAACATGTCAAGTATGTAAGAATTTAGATCTAGTTGTGAAACAACAATAAAGCATTTGCACACACATTCTCAAGCAACGATGAGCTGATATGTAATTAAGAATTCCCAGAAGACCATGCAGCAGTGCTCACCCAACATTCTTAAGAGCTTACTATGAAGGCCTAGTTTTCACTGAGATGGCAAACCTGTCTGGGCTGTGCCACTACAGTCCACAGGTAGGAGCTCACATGACTGAATGTTTCTCCATTTAAAAACATCCCTCTACACAAATATATATGGGAATAGGCATAAGGCTGCAATTCCCCATATATATATATATATATATATATGGGAATAAATATCACTGAACTCAGAAGGACTTGCTGCACCTTATAATACTATGCTAATTTAAGCAACTTAGCTCAGAAACTATCCACTTATAACTGCATTTGGGGGCCCAGAATTCATCACAGTGGGATACCACCCTGACTATTCAACCCACTTCAGTACCTGCAGTAAGGCGCTCCCGAGTATACCACAGAGCAAAACCATCTCCGTGCAGATTTTTCTTGCCTATTCCATGGATCTTGAAATGGACATGGAGCTCCCAATCCTTTAGGAAGCAGGGCTAGAAGACAGAATATAGTAGCCCTAAGCACTTTTGAGAATGATTCACACTTTGGGTATTGTTAAGTAGGCACGATCACTGCTAGTCTCATCCCACTACCACTTTTTCCATGCAGAAGCACACTCACCACTCGGTTCCAGATTGAACCCTCCTTACTGCGCTCATCAGGGGTCAATCGAACATACTGGCTGGTCAGCATTGTACTCCCCTGGAAATCCCAGAGGGGCATTGAACTGGAGCCAACCCCTAAAACAAAGAAGATAACATGGAAACCAGAACTCACAGACTAGGCACAAAACCACCACCTCACAAAAATGATGGGAACTGTGTTCACTTGTTCTCCCCGTTCTTTGGCCATGAATAATCAGCAGAAACGGATTATTCATGACAACTTGATGGACATGACTGTACTAATTTATAATATATTATTTACCAGGCAACTGGGGCTTTCCTCTGGATCTGCGTATTACACAAACCACAGCCTCCAATCGACCCCCGCCCTGCCCCTCCTGGCCTTCAAACTGAAGGGGCTGTCCTGGGCACAGAAAGGTCCCGCCTGGTTATTTATGAGGGTCCTTCAAGAATGTGTGCAAAACGAATAGTACTGTCTCCGCGGCCCTTTGGTTTTCCTCTCTACTTCCTGAAGTGTCAAAACCAAGTCTTCCCCTTGGCCCAACGCGACCTGAACGTTAACCAGGGGCAGCCAGGATGCAGAAAGGCTCGAGAAAGGCGGGCGAGAAGGAAGGGGCGGAAGAGTCGGAAGAGTCGGGGGGCAGCAGCCCCTGCCCACCCCACGCACCCTGGTAAGGCTTGATGAGCGAGTGCTCTCTTTTCAGGTGCTCGCTGTTGCCGTCTGTGAGCTCCGCAGCCCCTCGAGGCACCGTCACGGCCAGGAGGAGCTGGAGGAAGAGCAGGGGCGGCAGCGCCATGGCGGCCGCCGACCCCCGCAGGCACCTCGCGGATCCACCGCCTCCCCGACCCACGACCATCCTACTCCCTCCTGCCCTTCTTCTTCCTGCTTCCGGTCGACCCTTCGCCCGGAGGTAAAAAGGAAAGGGAACCAAGGCAACCGAAACCATCGACGTCGGAAACTCTCCGGTCTCTGTAGGCCGGAACTCCGCCCCCCAGCGGCTGTAGAGATAGGAAAAGTGAAGAGTGAAACGGATCCTCCTGCTACCGCCTTCCGGGGTTCTGAGAGCGCAACGTGTCGGCTTGCGAGTGGTTGGAGCGGGGCAGTTAGAAGTCGCTCCTCCTCCTCTGCTGCCCCCACCCCGGAAACATCAGACGCTGCACTGCTCGTTCTCAGCCTCAGCAGTACCTGATGGGGGTTGTTAGCAATGGACTACCTAGCAAGGTGGTTGTGAGCTGTTTCTCGGCCGACTGCTTCCCTCCGCTTCCCTCCTGGTTGAGTAAGGGAATAACAGTGAATTGAGGAGTGGGTGGTTCTAAAGCCTGCTTAGAGCTCCAGGGCAATCCTCAGGGATGCCCCACCCGCAGCTTCATTTCCCAGCACAGCTGTTCACGAGGGCAACCAAAGCAACTTCCAGGCCCCCAGCCCAGTGAGAAGCCGTAAAAGGGTCTTGGGAATGCCTACCACTCAATAACTCGTGTCTTCTCTAACGCCTTGCTCAACTTTAAACTGGATTCTATGTCTTTTGGGTTGTTGGTTTTTTTGGTTTTTTTAGGAGACGCTCTTCTAAGGCAGGAGGGGGTGTCTCTCCCTCCCTTAAGGAAGCATTTAACATCTCCTGTCAAACAAGACAACTCCCCTCTCAAAGATATGTGTCAAAACCACAAGTGGTGGGGCTCGCATCTTGTCAGAATCCTAGATCTAGCCACAATCCTCTCCAAAGGAGCCAACTCTTAGAGGCCGTGGAGGCTTTGGCCCCCACAATAAAATACTTGCAGGGCCCCCCAAAAGTTGATGGGCATTCCCTTTCAAATGGTGTGTTTGAACTGTGTCATGTGATTGATTATGCAGGGCGGGGCTTACTTGGGCCCCCACAATCTTTTATTCAAGTTGGCACCCCTGATCTTCTCAGTAACTGAATGTGGCATCCAGGTCCAAAGGAATACAAGTGACTTCATCCGCAAACTGGAGGACAGGCTGAGTCCTCCTAATTTGGTTTGCTCTTTTTTCACAACTTAGATTGGCTGACCATCCAAACATTACTTTGCATCCGGCACTGAGCTACATGTGACTGTGCCTCTTTTGTTGTTCCAATAGGATGCTAATGTATTGTTGCACGCCACCCAAACCTCCGAGAGTTGCGAGATTCCAGGCACTTACCCAGGGTTCGTGTTTCGTTTTGGGAATGAGGCAGATTAAAGACTGTGGTGCCATTAGGGTATACAGTTTATTTACACATATATACAGCCTGAGCCTACAAAGGAGGGGTTCACAGCATTAACATCCCAAAAGGCTCTTGTTTCTCCCATAGCCACAGTCTTGGAGTTTACAGACATCCAACATTGCTCTGTCTCTCTATCTTCTCCCAGCTTGCTGCTTTACTCTCTAACTCACATCACTGCAACTCAACTCTAAACTTTGGCTTCATCCTTTTAACTAACCACAAGCTGGGGGGGGTACTCATGTGCCGTCTCACACAGAGCCCCTTTCCTTTGTTTCCCTTAATGGCCCATCACCCAGGCTATCACCTCATCCAGGAAGCCAGCTTGGCTTATATTTTAACACTTGCTGGATCCAAGGGATAGAAGGAACTCACATACAGTCTACTTCCTCCCCAATCAAACTCATAACAGTATGTATGTGCCTTTCCCTTGGTTAGTTTTGAACTGTCCTCATTTCATTGTCTTTTCAGCTAGAAGTTGATTTGACACTAGTACTTTACTTAACTACACAAGGCATTACTTAACTACAGTCAGCTGGAAGCAGAAATAAAAATTATGGTTCCACACAGCACTTGACATGGTGCTATATTGTCCATAAAAATCTGGCAAGATCCTATTGTATCTTCACTTAGAGGGACATTCTCCTGCAACTGTACCTTTAATGAATAGGTTTCTCCCTGCCCCTTTCTTTTAAAATAGCCAATTAGTTGCTTCTTGTTCTCTAGTAGCAGGGGCCCAGAGAACTGACCCTTAATTAGTTCCCGTTCCTTTAAATGGCTTTAATTGATTTCCTTTTTTGAAGCCACAGCAATTTCTTCTTCTAATTATTGGTACAATTACAATAGCAGAATAAAAAAGTAAAATGTAACAAGCTATTGCTTGGACAGCAATTAAAGCTCCTTTCCAGGAAACAAGAACTGACTAATTAAGGGCTAACAACACAATCATAATCACGTCTACAAAGAAATATGTCCTATTGAATTTAGTGTGGTTTACTTCCAGGAATTCCTTGGCCAGGAGTGAGCAAGAGCAGCTAGCCATTTTCAAATGAGCAAGGAGTAATCTATTGACTAAATGGACGGTAGTCCTTAGAACCCTCAGGGATATTGTAGTTCCATTAGTGCAGGAACTGCATTTTGAGAGAGAAAAAATATCACTACAAACCAGGAATGGAAAAAGATGGAACACAGAAAACCCTGATGTGCAATGGGTTGGCACTAGTGATAACACCATAAAAACAGAGTTTGCTTGATGTACAATCAAAGAAAATGGCTAGTGTGGAAACAACCAGAGTCCCCTGCATTTGATCTGTGTATCCTGGTATTGAAGACAAACAACTCCAATATAGCAGTGAGAAAGATGTCCCAGTTCACCCATCTTTTGAACCACCAATTCAGAAATTACCAGCCTAGAGGCTACAGGCCACTTCATTGAAACAAAATTGCCCCTGTTATGGCTCCACCTCTGGACAGGGTCTGATGGGAGTTCCTAAATGAGAAGGAGCATATTCACGTTTAGGGTGTGCAATCTTTGCCCCTGCTTTCCCCTACAAAGATCTTCATGGGTAGATAAAAGTTTGGCAGGGTGGTGCTTTTGTTTTCCAGTCCAGAGAAATGGACAGTCTAATTTTTCTCTGTCTTTTGTTGGATGCTCAGGAATCACACATAGTTCCAGCCCACAATTTTCAGGGATTATTTTCTGCCGCAGCTCTTCCAGGTCAGTTCTACAGGAGAGGGTATTAACATGGGAAAAAATGTTTTCCCTTGAGATCTGTGTGCCTGGCTTGTTTCCTGTGGATTTTGTGGCCCAGTTAGGAATGAAGGAAATTGTAAAGCTATTTAGCCTTAGAGAACTTTTGCTGTCATCAGTAAATGCAAAAGGGAATGTAAATAGAAGTGCAAGCCTGGAAGCTGTAGAATTCATTCATGGAGTCCAGTGATGGCCAAGTGCAAACGTTTTGTACAGCTTATTTGAAAGTAATGGGTGTATCTAGTACATTAGTAAGGTGAGCTTATCATACCAAGTTGTTTGCAGAGCCTATAGTCAGTATCTGTCCAGTGAGAATATGGATCTTTTGCTTTAAGTTCATTTTCGCCATTTTGTGACATGATCACAATTATAGTTCCAGGATGATTTTCAAAAATCTAGTATTGCATCCCTTATTACGGTATGCTTGCAGGAGGAGATTTACTTATTAGGTCAGATATTTCAGAAAACTCAGGAAATCATTTCAGTTCAACATCCTTTCTCATCTTTGAATCTTGGGCCAGGTCCTGATGGTACCTTCTGCTATGAACTTTTGTGCACCACTAAGACTGAGGATGTGGCCTCTGGGGATTCTGTAGATATGAAAATCCATTCCTGTGCCCAGCATTTTCATTTTTTCCGACTTGTGATCTCGCTGCAAATCCAGTTCATCCCATCCTAGGTAGATAAAAGAGAGACAGTGATTGGCAGCACTTTCTGGGCTCTGATTCCAGCCCTGAGCACCTCCCTTTCCCATTCCCTACAGAACTTCACGATGGGCCACGTTATCTCACAGACACAACCCACCCCTTCATACCTGAATGCCTTCACCAGATAGTGCTGAGCAAGCCTGGATTTGCCATGGCCGGTCTCGGTATGTGTGCAGGTTGAGCCCTTCAGCAATCTCTGCTGCGGGGGATGCTGTTGCTAGATCCTGCTTGTTAGCAAACACCAACAATGGGACACCCGTGAGATTCTCATCTTCCACTAGTTCGGACAACTCCTGCCAAAGATAAAGAGAACGCAGTGGATTCTGAACAGGCTCGTTGCTTGAAGTTACATAAAGACCCACCCAGAGGAGGTTATATTGCTAGCTGTGGCATTCAGGCACAAATTGTCATCACCTCTACCTAGAACTGGTACTTGTACTCTGTTTCACAAACTCCTTTTTTGAATGGTAAACCCAGAGGGGTAGGGCCTTGTCCTTCAAGGGATGTGTCATAGCTGTTCCTTGTTAACTGCTATGGGTGGCCGCCTGATGATGGTGGTGGTCTTAATCCAGTTGATTCTCCCATGATCCCTACCTTCTGAACCCGTTAAGCTAAAGGGGGTAAGGAGAAGGAGATGTGAGGTTAAGACACCAAGCAAGCAACCTGAACAATGGGTTCTACTTCTAGACTCTGCTATTATTTGACAATATTTTCACCCCTCACAGCACTCATTCCCAGGTGTGCAGTTCTCCACAGTCCAGATTACCAAATTCCTGTCATAGGTAGAATTATGGGATTGGAGGAGGTAAACTGTCTGTCCTACCTGCCCAGTCTCCTCAAAGCGTTTCTGGTCAGCACTGTCAATAACATAGATCTGCAACAAGGAAAAGAAGGGAATCATTTACAGCCCAGCATTCTTCCTTTGGTCCCAGCTCCTCTTACCAGCTCCTAAAGCTTTTTGGTTCTTTCAAGGCAGCCCCAAGACATCTTGCTTTTTAAGGTATGAAATCCAAATGGTGCCCTACCCACCCCCTCCACACATTGCGGCTGTAGAAGTATAATAATAAAGTAAATAAAATAACAGACAGTTAGTTGTCCTCTGATAATACCTTCTAAATTCTGGAATCTGAGGCTGGCACTGCCTAAGGCCTTCCAGATTGGTGGTTCCATTGCATGTGCAACATGTCATTGATACAATAATAACACGAGAGGTGGATTTAGGCTTGAGCATTCACACATCATTCCACTTTATTAGTTGTTCTGTGATGCTTGCTCAGTGCTACCACACTATCGCCACCTGGAGGCGAATGTTTGCATTACAACAGAACAAAAGTAGGACCAAAAAACCACACCAAATCTGGAACATTTGTAGCATGAAAAGTTAAAGGCTTTCAGCTATGGGACATGTATCGATTGGAAACAAAGCAGTATATCCACCCCAAAACTTTTGCAGATGTAACAGTATTGAACATGGGATCGTGTGCAGCCATCCCCTGTTCCCATACCATGATGAACACAAGCCGTCATGAATGTACAGTGAAAAGGCTGTCTGAAGGACCCTGGATATTAGGGCTAGCCTTGCCTTAATTTGGTAACTTGTGTGGTTCCGGCAGACAAATTTCTACAAAGGCAGTTTTAGGGGCTGAGCCCCACACTCACCAGAAGGTCGGTGCTGCCTAGGTACTTCTTCCAATAGGCCCGGATTGCCCGCTGCCCTCCTATGTCCCAGACATTGAGCTTGAAGCCATGAGAGTGGACACTTTTGATGTTGAATCCCTTCACAAAAGGAATCAGAAGAGGTGGGTAGGGGAGAGGCATAGTAGGGGCCGCTTGCTTCCTATGCCGAAGAATCCCCACCCTGTTGCTCTGCTGCAAACTACACAGAATTTGCATGGGGCCCAGTTGGTGACAAGAACATAAAAGCAACTCCTTTTCCCTCGTCCCAACACAATGTCTTAGCCACAAGGCTTGCCTGAAAAGCACAGGGGATGGGTTGCTCTGAGAGAGCCAAGGTGCTATTGCTGGTGTGTCTGAGCTCCACACTGTGGGGATGAGAGGAGCGTAACAGCAGGGGGTTGGTTAGGATCCTGACTGCCAATCTGCTCCACTGACTTTATGTAACTGGTTATCCAATTCCTCCTTGCCGCACACCCCATCCCAATCCCTCGGCGCTGATCTCCTTTGCCACTGTGCTTACCTGTGTGGGGGTAATGGTGCTGACTTCTTCCGATGCCAGGCTCTTGAGCAACGTAGTCTTTCCGGCATTGTCCAGCCCGAGGAGGACAATTCGCAACTCCTGCTCTTCAGAGCCTTTAAGCTTCTGGATGACAGAGAGAAGGCCCTAGGCGCAAAAGCAGCATTTACTGGCTGGGATCTTTATTCTAGCTGTTGCCTCCTAGAGAGGGCCCACCATGTTTCTAGAGCCTTCATCCTTAGACAGTCACTTGATTTTACCCACCAGGCTTCAGAGCTAACAATGGGGCCATTTTACCAGCTTCAGAGAAACATCTCAAAGTTCAGCTTTCTCAATTTGTGATGATGATCATTATGTAACATTTTATTATGTTTTTATGTAAGTTGCTTGAGAATGTGTGGGCAACCCAGTCAGATGGATGGGGAACAAATAAAATAACAACAAAAACAAAACTATATACCATTAACAACAACAACAATTATATACTATCCTTTGTCAAGGCTATGTAGAACATTAAAAATACTTTATAGAACATCAGTGATAAAAACATAATAAAATGCATACTGACAGCCCAATAATAAAATAGTCATCATAATAACAGTCAGCTCCCCCACACTTTCACAGGCCTTAGATTATTTAATAGCCATGTTTTGACCACCCTCATTTCCCCTGCTCCTCTCACACATGAAGGGTCCCACCAGCCTCCACCATGGGCACCAGGGTTGCATTCTGCAGCTTCTGGTTACCATTCCATTTGTGTTGTGTTGAGAGGTTGAGTGCTGTTGCTCATGTAGCCAAAATGGTGCCATCCATGAACAAGAGGGAGATTATCGGCAGGAACCTCAAGGTTTACAGAAGTACTGGAAATATTTTGGAATTGGTGATGGAGATCCCCAGAACAGCCCAGTGAGGACAGATGGTGCAGCAGGCACCGAATTCTGGCTGACTTTCGGTAGGGGTGGGGGGTGGGGAAACAGGCAACAGAGGAACAGAAGGGAATATTGCCGTGGGAGGCATGGCTGGCTGAAACAGTGAAGAGCCACAACTCATTGTTGCAGCCCCCATGTTGCAGATATTAAGTGTAGATAGTAATCATGGTGGGTCTGTAGAACCAGTTCTGGGGAGCAGACTGATAGCAAGTCCTGCCAGAGAGTAGATGCCGAAAGAGTCATTCTGTGAATGCTAACACCCCCCCCCCCCAGTATTTGTTACAGGATCAGAATTCACTCACCTTTTGCACTTCACCCATGGTCAGGCTCTCTACATCCTCTGCAGAGCCAGCCGTGGAAGCGTTCTAGGCTGGTAGCTGGGTCCCCACTGCGTGACTGACATGCCTCACTCCAGCTGGGGGAAGGAAGAGGATTAGGACTCCAGAATTAGCTTGTGTTTCTCAATTTACCCAGGGTGTTTAGTAATACCCTAGGTAAATCCCCCTACTGCCAGCTGTCACCCTGGCTTGACCCAGTCCACTCCTGAAGCTCCAGGCAAAAGATGCCTGTCTGCCCAACCAGATTTGAACATGTAACAAGGTGCTTGAGTATTTTTGGTTAGCATCTTAGTTTACGCAGTTCAGAGGTTGGAAATTTTCTCTATCTGGGTGACTTGATGGTCTGATGAGGTTGCTCAGGTCCTCCCCGCTCCAACCCAAAGGAATGGTAGGCCCAGCAGTGGAAGAAAACTTGGTGTGGAATCTAAGGCTGCAGACTTCACCACACATGATTTAATGTATATTTAAAGTACATGGAATCCCCTAAAGAATCTTGGGAACTGTAGTTTGATAAGGGTGTTGGGAATTGAAGCTCTGTGAGGAATAAACTACAGTTCCCATGATTCTTTGGAGGATGCTGTGTGCTTTAAATGTATGGTGTATATGCACCCTTGGTTGGACAGTGTTCTCGAAGCTACCAGCATGAGTTTGACCAAACTGCGGGAGGCAGTGGAAGACAGAAGTCCCTGGCGTGCTCTGGTCCATGGGGTCACAAAGAGTCAGACACGACTAAACAACAACAACAACAACAATATGCACCCTTGGTTCAATTACTATATAGGATTTCCTGCAGCCCTTTCCTAGTCTTGCTTGAAAAACCACTCTTGCTGCGGCCTGTGTTTTGTAAGCTCAAAAATGGAAAACGAGCAAGGTCCCAACTAAAGAAGAATGGCAACTTAAGCTGACAGAATATGCACAGCTTGCAGACTTAACAAATAGAATGAGAAAACAAGAACATACGTTTAGAGAAGATTGGAAAATGTTTATTGAACTGTACGTGGGGGTAAATTGTATACACTTGAAAATGTTGGCAGCATTAAGATAAATTCAACAGTATAAATAAGTTTTGATGGATGTAATAATGGAATACTGAATGGTTTAGTTTTTGTAAATGCAGGGATTTATGATATGCAAAATGAACCATGGGAAGAGAAGGGAAGTCATTGATATTTTAAGGATGCTTAAATGAGTATTTTAAATTGTAAAACAGAAAATTTACACACACACACACACACACACACACACACATACACACACACACACACACACATATTGGGGGGGGGGAGAGAAAAAACACTTGTTTTCATTTTTTAATGTTAACCAGAGCCATTTTAAGGTTTTGTGGGGCTGCTTTTCTTGGAAGGCGCACTCCTCATAGATATATTGTAATACTAATTATTGTGAGACTGCTGAACATAGTAAAAAACCAAGGAGCAAGATTCCCACTAGACCCACCAGAAGAAAATGTAAGGCATTCCACTTTTTCCTCAAAATAATTTTTTTGTCACACGTACTGGCTGCCTTCCACAGCCAACCACCCTCCATGCATCTCTGAATTCATGTAATTGCATGAAAGGCAATTTGATCCAGCTTTCATTTGAATAGATTTACTGGGCTCTCTGAACTTGTAGGCCCATTGTAGGAGTATTCTAACCGACAGGGAGTCTGAAATCCCATTGCTTAATGGGATGCAATGGCTACTTGGCATTGTTCTTTAAGAAAAAGTTTCAAGACAGACCTGGTGCCAACTGATTTTCTGGATCTACTTCAGTCACCCTGATGGATGACTTATGCCAGGAGAAAGGAGGAGTGCTGCCTTGTTTATTCTTCTTGACCTCTCAGTCTGGACAGACTGTCTGGACTGAGAATTAGAGGCACAATTTTACAATGATTCCACTGCTACCTGGATAGCTTATGTCAGAATGTAGTGCTTGAGCATTTGTGCTATGGGTTTCAGTCTTGTTCCTTGTGCTTTTCAACATCTACATGAAATGACTGAGTGACGTCATCCAGAGATTTTCCACCAGGAGTCATCAATAAGCAGATAACCCTCAGCTCCAGTTCTCTTTGACAGGTGAGGCAGGAAGCCCAATTCATCTAATTCCATCTGCTTTGAGGAAGTGCTGAACAAGTGCTTCTTCAGCACAGTCATGGACTGGATGTGGGGCAAGAAACTGAGGCTCAATGCAGATGAGACCCGAGTCACTCTTGGCGAGTGGCTTGTCTGCCAAGGGGAGTGGTATTCATCCCACTTTTGATGGGGTTGCATTCCCTCTGGAGGAACAAGTTTATGGTTTCAGGGTGCTTCTTGAACCGTATTTTGTCACCAGTGGCACAAGTTTCCTCTGTGGCACAGAGCACTTTTTTTTACCGGCTTAGGCTGGTTAAGCAGCCTTGGCAGATACAGAGTGGCCTCAGCGATGCATGCTTCCATAGCCTCCAGGCTAGGGCTAACCTAGATAGTACATTTGGACTTGTGTGGCTGATTTTTTAAAAGAAGGAAATAGGTGCAAAGGGGGATGTTGTCTCAGGAAGGTGAGCTAACACCCTTTGCTCATACTAATATCCTGATCCGAATTCCCCCTTTCCCAGCACCAGCCACGCACATTGAGAGGAAAGCTCTCACCAGTGCCCATAAGAGATTTCCTTCCAGTGTAAAGAAGCAGGGATGGATTTACAGGATGCTGACCAGAGTGATGGATGGTGAGGGCTGAGGGTTAAAGCCCCTCTCCATGCTCCCTAGCTGCTCCACCCACTATGTGCCAGCAATGACACCCCAAGAGCCACACAAGGTCAAACCCTGTGACAAATATCTTGTCTAAACTGGTACTGTCAGAAGGTTAGAGTACTGTGGGGCTGACTCTGGTGAGAAACCTTTGCTCAGCATATGTGAGAATGGGTGGCAGATGCTTAGTGAAGAAAAGGCATGCTCTGCAACAGGGCTGAGGACCTGTGTTTGGACCCAACCCTCATCAGCCCCAGCCAGAGATGATGGGAGTTGTAGTCCAATAGCATTTGGAGGGTAACATGTTCCCCATCCCTGCTCTACTTACTCAAAGAATATTTACTACTAGAAAAGTTAAAAGAGGCTGGGGGGCAAGAAATAGTATTAAATCGGCAGGGCAAAGGGATCAGGCTACATAGGCAACAGCACAAGCTTTTGGAGTGGAGTACCCCTTCTGCACAGCAACAGGAGTCCCTAAAGTTTGCAAGTCACTTGATGGTCTCAGTTACCTGCTTCCAAACCCCAGACGTTTGGATCCGTCGCAGCAACAAGAGAGTGTACAATTCATGAGTAGCGAAAAGAGAAGAGTAAGTTTATTGTACAGCTGTAGCACTGTCCAGGTAGAGTCACATGCAGAACAACTGGGCAGAGAAATACAGAGCCCCCTTTTTATGAATCTTTGAGGGGCAAGACAAGGGAATTCAGCACTAACACAGTTAACAGAGATTGCATCCATTAGCAGTGTAGATGGATGCTCTCATTGCAAGCATCACCCTGAGACTGGTGGTCAGCATTGCTTGACCAGTTGGTTACCATGGGCACATGATGTTTCTTGGTTACTCTGCAATCAGCTCTGTTCTCAAAATAGTAAAAATGGAAAAATCCCTGATAAGGAAATAGCACCGAAAGCCACAACGTAGCTCTCAAAAGTGGCATGTGGTTCCCAAAACAAGTATATGCTGATATTAATACAACTGGACAGCAGAGCTGATGTCAGGGGAAGAGCACTTGCTGCTTTGGCCTGTGTGCCTCTGAATGCCAGCTTGGCATACCCAGGCGCACACAGGATGGCATTCTGGCATAATAGATTGTTTTTCTTCTTACACCACTGCCTAGCAACCAAGAGGGAACAAAAATAGGCTTCACAGAGAGAATTTGACTCCATTGTCCTAGAGCTTTTAGCTCTGGTTATCAAACTTTATATGCAGCCTAACTGGTGCGTTCAGTTCCTCATAACAAGCATCAATAGCAGCACCTGTGTCACTCACAGTGGGATGTGGCTGTAGCTCCATGGTAAGGCATCTTCTCTGCATGCAGAGGGTCCCAGGTTGAATCCCTTGCATCTCCACATATGGCTGGGAAAGACCCCAATATAAGACCCTGGAAAGCTGTTGTCTGTGTGCAGTGCTAGATGGGCAAATGGTCTGACACAGCATGAAGCAGATTTCTGTGTTCTACATCAGGCTTCCTCAATCTCGGCCCTCCAGATGTTTTGAGACTATAATTCCCATCATCCCTGACCACTGGTCCTGCTAGCTAGGGATCATGGGAGTTGTAGGCCAAAAACATCTGGAGGGCCGAGGTTGAGGAAGCCTGTTCTACATGCTAGGCGAATGTTTGCAAATAGATATGTAACAAAATTAAGAGGAAAGCCACACAATTGTACAGACAGAAGCAGTGTGGGAGTTATAATTGCTCATCACCATTCTCATTGCCAGTAAGCAGGTGCCCCTAACACTTATATAATCACATTACAGCAATAATCGCAATAGTGGTGGATGTGCTATCTGGGAGACAAAATTAATTTTCTCAGATTCATAGCACGGCATGTACAGAACGGGGAATGTGGTATTGCTGCAACTGAAGCACATCCTGGAGCGAAGATGTCTGGGCTCTGCCTAGCCTAGGGGTCAGCAACCTTCTTCAGCCATGGGCCGGTCCACCGTCCCTCAGACCATGTGGTGGGCCGGACTATATTTTGAAGAAAAAATGAACGAATTCCTATGCCCCACAAATAACCCAGATATGCATTTTAAATAAAAGCACACATTCTACTCAGGTAAAAACACCAGGCAGGCCCCACAAATAACCCAGAGATGCATTTTAAATAAAAGGACACATTCTACTCATGTAAAAACATGCTGATTTCCCGGACCGTCCGCAGGCGATTGGGCTGCATCCGGCCCACGGGCCTTAGGTTGCCTACCCCTGGCCTAGCCAGTGGCTAACAGCTGCATGTTTACTGCACTAACAACTTTGATCATGTGTCCGGAAAAGAATTTCAATCAATATGCATCAGCGTTTACTGCTGTTTTTAATTTTTTAACCTTTCCTGGCTAGGCTGCATTATTTCTTAGAATATGAGTGCAAATTGCTTATACAGAGATGACTCATTGACATGAAAGCTTCCTGCCACATTTCAGGCTGGCTGGGGGCACCTAATCACCGGCTGTGCCTGGCCTTTTGAAGTTCTTGCATTCTGCCTTGAATGTGTAAGCTCAAATCTAATTTAAGTACAGCAGGACATGGGCACGGGCAGAAGACAGCACCAAAGAAAAGATCACAGTTAATTATCCACATTAGCTTGTATGTTCTTGGTCGGCACAAGTTATTCTCATTGCAAATGTCATTTCACAGAATATGCTTGCAGGGACTGTGACGGCAGTAAAAGGGGAGGAAAGAGAGACACAGAAGCAAGGACTATGGGGAGGGGACAGGAAGCAGCAGAGCACAGAAGCCTCACCCTTGACCACTGGAAGCCCCACCTAGCTGTTTCACTAGCTTCTGAGCATGCTGAACACACGTCTGATGTCTTTTGAAGCTTTCCTGCACAACCGCAAAGGATGGAAATGTGCTCTTTGTTAAAATGGAAGCCGAGAGTCTCAGAGTCTAGGTCCTGGGTAGCACCCAGCAGGAGAGTGAAGTCACCACCTGACCTGGGCCTCGAGCTGCTCCCCTGGGCGATAGGCCTTCCACATGCACACTGTGCCATCTAGAGAGACCGACACATACTGCAGGGAAGCAGAGAGAAGAACACGTCAGGGTGCAACAGCGTCAGCACCCTCTATGGGGCTGGATTCAGTGTCTCCATGCAGTGCATCGGTCACCGATAGTCCTCACTCATGTGGGTCTTCAGACTGCATTGGTCTCCCATCCAACTGCATAGCAGACTAGAGTGGGCGGCACCAGCCTGGGATCCGCTATCAGTGCAAGCCAAGCTAGGATATCAGAACAGGATTTCCTCCTGCCACATTGCACCTTCCTGATATGCATGTGGGTGTGTGGGTGTACTTCTCCACAACTGACAGATTTGCATTAAAGCAATCATTAAGGAAGCTGCTTTTTTTAAAAGAGTATGCTAAAAAAATGTTAGTTGGCCAAAGACCCAAGTGACATTTGGTCAGACACCCAGCATGATTCAAGGAACAACACTATAAGCCACATATGTATTCTGCTTCTGGCATGGCTGGCTGTGCACAAATCAAGTCTGCGCCCCAGAATCCTCAGCAATATCCTCAGGACTCTGAGAGACACACTCATGGCTTAAGCAGTGAGCCAACTCACTGTGTGCACATCTGACTTCCCATGTTCAGCTTAAGAACTTAAGAACAGGGCCTGCTGGACCAAAGGCCCATCCCATCCAGCATTCTGTTCTCACAGCTGTCAAGCAGGTGCCCGTTGGAAATCCACGAGCAGGATCTGAGTGCTTCCCATGTGAACAGAGAATACACGACAGAATCCTGTAGCAACTTCTGAGGCATATTCTTAGCTTGTAGAGGCCGTCCTTGCCTGCTCCACAAAGGATGGCTATTGCTGGCCTAGATACAAGCTAGAGGGGAGCAGCCATGTTTGCTCCCTCAGTACGATTCAGCTTATTGTCAGCCACTGTTAGAGAAGCCAGACAGAAACAGAAAACTGATAATTATTTCTTCAGTCCACCCCTCGGCTGTGCTATGATAGGTAAACGTCTTGTAAACTGCTTTGAATTCTAAAATAAAAAAGGATACAATTCCCCCTCTCCATTAAGTACTAGTTTGTTTGTAGGAGGACTGGAAGTGCAATATAATACCCTATTTAAACAACAAGAATACAGCATGGGGACAATCTTTTGGTAGTGCTGCCCAGCTCAGTGGGCAGGACCTCACCAAATGTCATCAACATGCAGCTGGCTCTCTGAACAGGATGCTGATAGATACAGATTAGGCAGATGGCTCCAATATGCACCATCATAGTATATGCATTGCTTTGTGCTGGTCCATTCATGACTTAGAACTAAGAGTGGGAAAACTCCCAGGCCCCAGCTTTCTTGACCTTTTCCCCTAGTGGTTGGTCCCTGTCTCTCCTACCTGCTCCATTTCTGGGACATGGATGAGTCCCTTGACGGAATCTTGGTGCCCTGTGTAACTTTGCACCTGCACTCCAGAATTTGGATCATAAACCCTGCAGGGAGAAAAAGGCAGAGCCATCAGCCTGTTCAAAGACGTGCTGCCTCTCATCCCTTTCTTTTCCACCACCAGCCTCCTTATGGTACCAGCCTACCTGATGGTATCATGGACCCCTGCAAGAATGCAGCCATTGACCTGGTCGATGCAGAGGCAAGTGATCCCTCTGGAGGCTCTCAGGTTCTGCACACAGCACCCACCATCTTCGCTCTGTGTAAACCATTAAAAAGAAAAATCCCATCATTTCTGCTGCTGGAGGAAGACTTTGTGGTCATTCCCAGAAAATGTTTCTGCCTGATCCGTATAACTCCCCCAAAAACTTACTGGTCCAGAAATTCAACCAAGCTCTTCAGCAACGAGCCCTAAGTTTTCCTACATCCTTGCTAGTGAATATACATAACGTATGAAAGTCACCACCTGATTAAGGGCTTACCCAGAGCCGAATGGAGCCATCTTCAGCACCGCTAACCCACTTGTCCTCTAGTGGGTGCCAGACCAAGGCTACGACAGCGGCTTTGTGCCCACAGAGCTCAGCCAGGAGCACCAGATCAGCACAGTGAGGATTGAAAGCACAGATAAAAACTCTGCCAGTGCTAGAAGAGAAAGCAAATTCCCTCCTGCCCGGTCCAGGAGGGTGTGGGCTGTGGATGCGGGGATGGCAAAAGACATGGCAAAATCGAATTAGCGGCCCTGGACCCAAAGATTAGGTTCCTGCAGGAGTGGCTTCATCCTTTCTATTACTGTTGTCCCCCACCCCCACTTTTCAGCAATACATCTCTCCTGCTTGGGAGGCCTCAAAGTGCTGTTTGAGAACATTCCGTGGCTTCCCCACCTTTCAAATAAGCAGGCAGACAGAATCACCCACCTCTTTGGGGAGTAGGCCATATCCAGGATGGGCCCGTTGTCCTCAGGTAGACTGGAAAAGGCATTTTGCAAAGAGTGGTTGTGCAGGTCCCAAAGACACAGCTTTCCATCCCATCCTCCACTGAGCTACAATGAAATACACCAAGGTGAAGTCATGCTTTGCAATGCTGCCCCTCCTTGCAGTGTGTGTTCTCTCTCTCTCTCTGGCACTGGCACTCACCCACATCCCCTCTCCTCTCTATATGTGCCATGCAGGGTCTTCCTACAGCATCTCACTTTCTTCCACTCTCTCCCTGCTGCCCATCAACAGAGACTGGGCTGCCTCATACAATGCCATCCAAGTCCATTTTAGGGTTCACTCACCAGGTAGGGGAAGTACAGTCCAGCATCGCCGGCTGCCACGGCAAGTGCCGTCACCATGCCCGTGTGCCCGCACAGCACCGTTCTGCAGGTGAAACCTATTTAAGGCAGTACTGGCATGAGAGAGGCAGTAGCAGGATGGAGAAGAGGAAAAAACAGGGACCAGAATCTCTTACACACTCAGGAGGTGGCTTCCCCAAAAATGAGCCTGCGGTGCTTTTTATCCCCAGCTTGACCCTACTCCAAGAGGAAGAAAGGAGGGGAGGCACCAGTACCAAATGAAAACTAGAGAAACTAGATGAAATAAACTAGAGAAACATTCAGTGCCCCAGCCTGGTTTGAAGGGAGATTTCATCAGGGACACCGAGGTGTACAACAAGTGGACTCAGCCACTTTTTCGTTTGTCCTGTTTCACAGGTCTCAGTGGTTTCCCACTTGTTCAGTGAATTCTAGGCATGAGTCCAAATGTTTTTGCCTGTACCCTGTTGTTTTCCCCTGGAAAACCCCTGGAAAATTGGAACAAATGACAATCCACAAAAACCCCGATTGCCGTTTGTTCTGATTCAGCGCTAAACCATTGGTTTTCTGGGGGGGGGGGGGAGTGGCAGAGCAAGTGGAAGTGAATGACTCCACCCACTTAGGCTGACTATTGGAGCCTCCTAGACAGCAAAGAGTGTAAGGGGGCTTCCTGGTCCAGTTGAGGCTTGCTTGAGCAACAAAGTCTTCCTGAGCTCTGGTGGGTTCCTGCAGCCTTGGCTGGTCTTTGGCCCTGACTCGCTTGGCACTCCTGATCTTCCTTCTAGACTCTGACTCACAAGTTTTCATTTGGTTCTGGCTTACTCTTCAGTCCTAACTACTGGCTTGTCTCAGACTACCCTTGATCCAGCCCTGCCACGCGAAGTTTTCCATCTAAGCTTGCAATCCTCACCCCACTTACTTGGGAATATGCCCCACTGAATTTAATAGAACTTACTAGGCATGGTTAGGATTGGGCTGTGAAGTGTACTTGTGGAAGGATACATTCAAAGTGCATTGGGCCATTCAATGTTTACTTTTGTGCACCTTTGAAGCATCATCTCTTTTTCTTTCCCCTCTGAGTTTACTCCAAACCACTTTCTTCACCTGCTACACAACTGCTTGAAGTGCCCTGGGTCTTCTCATCTTGAACACAGCTTGATGCCAATGTTTCAGAATTTTGATCCAACACAGGTGGGCATTGCTACAGCATGGGATGAAAATAGCAAACCATAAGGGAACCTTTCTCTAGGAGAAATGTCACACACTTCTTTTTTGTTTGTAATCCAAGGGAATTTTCTGAGCCAAAACCTGTGCTGCCATGCGGCTCCTAGTTGGCTTGGTTAAATAAATGTGGCTGGCTGGTTTATCTTTCTTATCTTGGAAGACAGAGGCCATTCACTTCCTGTGGCTTACCTGCAAACACATGTCTTCTGTCTTCCATCCAAGAAGCAGAGGCTAGGACAGCGGTTTGCACTCACCTCGGCAGAAGGTTCCGGGATGAAGCTCTCAAACTCCCAGAGATAAATGTTCCCGTCAGCTGCCGACACCACCAGGATATTCAACTCTTCAGCAAAGAGAGCCCTGGCAAAGGCCCAGGGCTTCATTAGCAAGGCAGCAACTACCTTTCATCTGTCATTTCACAGCCAACATTACAGAAGCCAACTCTCCCCCCCCCCAAATTAAATCATGCCTTGTTCTGGCCAGCTTGGTGACCATCATCCCTGACCATTAGTCATACTAGCAAGGGATGATGGGAGCATGACTCCAACAATATCTGGAGCATCACAGGTTGTCCAGCCCTGATGCAAAGCAAATGGTGAAGGTCTGCCTGATCCCTAAGGAAGAAAGGGCAGTCCCTCGGTCTCTTCAAGATAAATTATGCTGTTGCCTCTCTGCTACAGTAGCACATACGCTTGGGCAGAGCACAATGACAGTTACCTAGTGAAGCCTATGCTTCCTTTTCGCATGTCTTTCGCTGCACTTCGGAACCTGGTGTAGCCACTCTGCTGCCCAATGGAGGCCTTTCCTGGCTTTCGAGGGGAATCTGGCTTCTCCTTGCCACCCTCCTCCCTCTGCTGTGCCAAGGGGCCTCTTCTTTCCAGTTGGGCTTCACTTAGGTGGAAGGACTCCCTGCTGAAAGAAACAGAGACACACAGGATGTGTGTGTGGGGAGTGTAGACCTGTGGCTGTGGACAGGGTTGTGGTTGAGGATGGGTGAGAAGGCTTTTTGAAACTCCACTACAGAGATGGGAAATTTGTGACCCTCCTGATGTTGCTGGACTCTTAAGTCCCATCAGTCCCAGCCAGGGTGGCTGATTGACAGGGATGATGGGAGTTGTAGTCCAACACCCCCCTGACTTAGTGAGAGATGGCAAGGGAGACTCCTCCCAGATCACAGCATTCCTCCAACCACATCTCTTCCAGGGGCTTGTGTTCTAGGCCAATGGCAGCTAATGACCAAGGGTAAGACATTTAGTCTATTATTCTGGAAACCAGTAGATAGCTTCTATCTGGACACCAAATAGCACAGACCTGCTACACTACAGAGTCTCCTCTGGCAGGGGCTGTGCTTCTTCTCCTTACCAACAGAAATCTGCTGCTCTTAGGCCAGCCTCTGCTCACTGCTGTACCTTGCAATAGGGGCTTCCCCAACCCATGTCACACACCAGGGACTGGCATCTCTTCTTGGTCTGTGGGGATGAAACCTTACCTGTAGATGAAGGGAGAGATGTAGCTCTTCTCCCACTTCTGTAGCATCCCACTGCTGTCCCCACTGAAGAGCAAAACGGGCTCCTTTTTGGCTGGTGGAGATACATTCAGAAGTTCAAGCAGGGGCTTCAGAAAACCAGACAAAAGTTTTATTGCTGGACACACAAAACTCAACCCTGGCCCTTGTCCCAGCCAGATAATGTTCTTCTAGCTTTGTACCTCACCTGATGGAGCTTGTGCATCTGGGGCTGGAGCTGTTGCAGAGTTAGAGATATATATGGCTGCTTACCATAAGCTAGGCACTCTAGGGGGTGTTTGCAAGGCAGCACTGTCAGGCATCCCAACTCGCTGTAGCGCCAGACGAGTATTTGCTGCGGCTTTGCTGTGCCTGGAAGAAGGGAAAGTTCTGTGTTTCTTAAAATTACTTGGGTTATTCTAAAAAGCTCTTGCCATCCACTGAGCCTTATAATATCTTTGAAGAAGCTGAGTGGGAAATTGCCTTGTGTTAAATTAGAAAAGCATGCATAGATCTCACAACACCTGTTCGCATGAAACCGGAATCTCTGGATATAAATCTGGGACCTGTGGTGGGAACCAACAGGAACATAAGAAGAGCCTGCTGGATCAGGCAAAAAACCTGTTCCCACAACAATTAACCAGGTGCCCATGGGAACATTTAGTCTCTCCCAAGTGCTAAACCCACACTGGGTCTGAATGCAATAAGCACACGAGCCTACCAAGGTCACCGCCTGGTTCTGTGATGAAAGCCCTTTTTTGTACTAATTAATCAATTTTTACTACTTTTATATCATGCCTTTCCTTCAAGGTAAAAGGTAAAGGTAAAGGGACCCCTGACCATTAGGTCCAGTCGTGACTGACTCTGGGGTTGCGGCGCTCATCTCGCTTTATTGGCCAAGGGAGCCGGCGTACAGCTTCCGGGTCATGTGGCCAGCATGACTAAGCCGCTTCTGGCGAACCAGGGCAGTGCACGAAAACGCCGTTTACCTTCCCACTGGAGCGGTACTTATTTATCTACTTGCACTTTGACGTGCTTTTGAACTGCTAGGTTGGCAGGAGCAGGGACTGAACAATGAGAGCTCACCCTGTTGCGGGGATTCGAACCGCCAACCTTCTGATCAGCAAGTCCTAGGCTCTGTGGTTTAACCCACAGCGCCACCTGCATCCCCTTTCCTTCAAGGAGTTCAGGGCAAAAGACATAGTTTACTCACCCCATGTTTTCCTCACAACAATCCAGTGGCATAAGCTAAACTGGGAGAGGGTGATTGGCCAAGGAGGCCCAGCAAGCTTTGTGGCTGAGTGGTGGAATGAACCTGGATATCTCCAATGCTAATTAAATGCTCTCACCACTGGGTGCCATACTGTTCTAGTATCTTCCACTAAAGCTATTTTCTCCTAACTGCATGAAAGGACATGGCTTACAGATAAGAAGAGATGCTGAATTGGCGGCTGAGAGACCAGGTGAGGCCTTGTATTGTGGATGTGGGGGGGGGGGTTCATCTGTACTCTACTGGAGAACTCACCTATCACATGCCTTGAGTCTGGCAGGCTGAGAAGCTGCTGAAGAGCAGGTCCATCTTTCTGTCGGCCTTGGAACGTGGATATGAACTGTGAAACCTGAAAGCAGATCAGCACAAAGAATTCAGAACAGGTTGGCCATTTAATACCTGTTTCTCCTTATTCTTCCTATAAATGTGGAATGGTACACAAGAGCCATCTTTACTTAGGGGTCAAAGACCTATCAAAAAGAGCTGTGCTGGAGGCACTTGTTCAATGGACTTTTGAGCTTTGTGGAGCACATGACAGAACTTGGGATGGAACTGTGAAATGCAGTTGGATCTGGTATTGAAAGCTACAAAGAAATGTAATCTTTGAGTATGTTTTTGGGGGAGTTTGCAGATCCAGGAATACAGTGTTAGAGGCGCTAATGGCTTTTGAAACACCTACCCAATGGAAATAGCAATTGAGAAACATGTTCAGGAAGAGGCCCTGAGAATGGGAGGATACAACAGCTAAGGAAATGAGAAGAGACAGGATTTAATCTTCAGTATATCTGCCATCTGACATTTGGAAGAGGATCAGAGTAATTTTTCAATATAAAACGGCTGTGTATAGTTTTTATGTCATCTGTATCGTGTCATTAATCAGGCAAAATGGGTCTGATCTGTCAAGGTAAGGCAGCTTGTTAAACGAAACGTGCTCCATCAAAGAGTGTTCTTTTTGACATGGGTAATTTTTCATATGATAAAAACTAATCAATATGAGGAGCTGAGGCCAACTAAGGACAGGCAATTCTACAAGGAAAAATCATCCAATAGAACAGCTCGCATAGGAACAGGGGACGTTGCGTATGTTGTTCCAGGTCAGTCTATTTATCTATCCAGTCCAGTATTTAATACAGTATTCTGACTGGCAGCAGCTCCTTTGGGTCTCAGGAATTGATTGCTCCCATTACCTAGGTCATTTTAAGTGGAGATGCCAGGGACTGAACCAGGGGCCTTTTTTTTTTTTTTTTGACACACAAAGCTTACTATTGTACCCTCCCCTCACAAGGCACTGGTCCCCAGGCATCTTTTGCTGGTAACCACCAATAAGCCAAATAATGTCATGTATGGAGGACTAGGCGGCATGGCAGGCTTTAAACTGCCTTCCATGTCTGGAAATCTGTCCCAGGCAAAATGGCACATTAGCACATTCTGCAGAACCAAGTGATAAAGCTTTTGTGAGCTGCCCTGCTTCAGGCTGCTGTGGGTTGAGGATGGCACACTTGAATATGCCCCATGCAACTTTCACTCCTGCAGTCTGAAGTAACAGCCCATGAAAAGGCACCCTACAAAATCCTGCTTCATGTGTAACATGGGCGAGCAACAGGATCCTGGGCTTATCGGTCCCCATTTGCACAGCATGGCCAAACCCTTGGCAGCAATTGTTTTCCACTAGGACTGTGGCCTTGCTGGAAGAAAACAAAAAACTGGACAATGCTAGCTTATATAGTCTTAATGCACATGCCTAATATACTAAGACTGCGGGCAAGTGTGGGAGTTGATTGGCGCAGCCTGGCAGCGCATGTGGAGAGAGTCAGCTGGCTTATCCTCTTGGCCACAATTCACAAAGACAGAAAGGGAAAGAAAACACACCGGGGGCTTTTGCCCTCCCTCCCTATGCTAGTTGAGGCGGACGCAATGCTAATCCATCACCAGTAGAGGGCTCCTTATAATAACAAGTTCATTTATCTTTAGGCAGAGGTGTACATGGAAATGCCACACTTAAGTCGCTCACTATTTCCCCAGACTGAGGCTCATAGAGGGTGGGCTGGGTTGTGCCACTGGTGATCCAGACGATGCCAACAGATGCCACGTAGCAGAGTCCAGTAATGTTCCCGGTGAAGGGGCCAAGGCGCTGGATGAGCTTCCCATCCTGGGACCAGATGCCAACTGTCTGGTCAAAAGAACCTGAGAGCACCCTGCAGAGGAGATCACAGACCAGAGGGCGGCGGGTCAGGGAATCAGGACTTTGGCAGTGCAGTGGAGGAGCAGGGCTGCGTTTGCATTTCCCAAGCAAAGACTTCACACCCTCTATATAAACCCAAGGCTCCCTTTCTAGTGAATCATTGAAAGCAGGAGAAAATATAACCCTTCTTTTTCCTTTAAGCAAAGTGTTCTTATTTTACACTTCCCCAAGCGGAACACACTCAAAGCCTCTCCCTCCTGGCCAGAGGTTCGAGTAACATCCTGCGGCTTCCAGTTCCTCTTTGTGGTAAACGTCATCCTTCCAGAGCCCTCTGGCTCTAGATCTGCCACTTAGAGTCCCAGCCTCTGCAACAGAAATCCCTTCAGAGAAGGAGGCATCTCCTCCCGCTTCTCCTTTCCCCATCCCCATGCTAACTTCCCAGGAAAGGAAGAAAGCTGCAAAGGGAGGGGGAGGGAAAGGAGGAGGGAGCAAAACCCAAATAGTAATTTTTTTATTTAAAAAATGGAGAAGAAATATAACCTAGGAAACATGAATCAGAGGGGGCGGAGGCAGGAATTAAGGACTGTAAGGGAAGAGAATTTATGCAGAGTACATTATAAAAGGTGGTAGGTGTGCATTCAGCGCACAGTGATTCTCGCTTTCTGTATGTGAGAGCGAATTTAGCTCATCCTTGTTCCTTCAATTGTATGCTTCCATCCGCACCACGGCAGATCTCTTTGGCCAGCAGGATTTGCCCTTTTGAAGTGACTAAAGAGGGAATCCTGCTTTGTCTCGTTTCCCTGTCCTTATGCCAGAATGAGGAACTTTTTTCAGCCTGAGTGAGAGGCCACATTCTCTTCCTGGGGCCTCATGCCAGCAGTGGGCAGAGTCAGAGGCAAAAATGGGCAGAGTCATTGGTATGACTCCTGCCTTTCCTACAGTAACAGCCAGAGGTTTCTACGCATGCCCACAGCATGCCCACATCCAGGCGAACAAGAGGCATTGTCGCAACTCAGCAGCATATTCTTGCCATGAGGGGGATGCGGAGCAGGATCAGTCAAGGGCACAGCTTGTGGATGGAGGTGGGTGGCCTGGGACAAGTCCCAGGAGTCATTCAAAGAGGCCTGGAGGTCTACCCCTGGCCCTGGTTCTGAGGTTTCCCACCCCTGTTCTACATAAGAATTGTGGCACCAGGAAGCTGCCATGCAAGTACAACATAAGACTATCCTTCAGCACAAAAGTCTCCCCTCAGTCCGCTGCTGCTAGTACCTAATTGGCTACTCTTGCCTAGTACCTTCCTGTTTGGGGGGAAGGAGAGTCAATTAGATGCTGACCGGTCATGGGTCACGTAGCAGGAGAGCACCTCTTGACAAAGGCCTTCACCCACACAACCCATTATCCAGATCCCACGGCCTAGGTGGCCTGCCCTTTGCACTGAGCTTGTACCTCGTGGTTTCTTGCTGCCGCACCAGCAGCAGGTGAGTGATGGCTGCACGATGGGCACGTGGGATGCAGTGCTTGGTTGTCAGGCCCTTCCTGCCTGGAGTCTGATAGGTGTCAAAGATCAGCAGCTTCTTGTCGTACCTGGGAAGGGAAGGGACTGTTGGATCTACTGAAGCTGGACTCAGGCTGGTGTGGCTTAAACCTCCCCATGGTGGGAGAGAGGGAGCTTTGGTTTCAAAGCAGAGCTGCAGATTCCTTCCTTGGGGAAATGTGTATGACTCACTGCTTTGTCCTTCACAGTCATCCAGAAACCACATTATTACTGTCACCTTGCAGGAGACCATCTCACTCCCTTCCAGCAGGGCCTGTTTGATAAGGTTCTGCATGACATGAGTCATATGATAGAAGCATTTCACAAAGCTGTAAGTATCACAGAGGGTCTGTACTTTGAACCCATCTGCAGACGGAGCCCCTTCTTCACTCCCGCAACTCCCAACTTACCCTGCTGTGTATATTTGGTTGTCCAGGCAGGCGATGCAGGACACGATGTCTGTGTGTGTGTGCTCGGAAAAGCCCTGGGCCATGTGGACCACGTGGCCTGATTCTCTCCTTTCATCCAAGGGGAAAGCCATCAGGCGTCCCTTGCTGCCACAGAGCAGGAGATGCCGAGCCAGGCTGATGGACAAGGTGAAGATAGGGTAGCCTAGCTGGAGGGGGGTGAAAGCGGGGACTGGCTTGAGTGCAGGAAGACTGTGCACAAAACAATAGGCTCTAGGGACTCAGGGAGGCAATGCTGCCTAGTTCTCACTCTGCAAGAGTCTCTGGAAGGGCCTGGTCTTACATAGATTTTATTGGAGTTAGACCAGCAGGGCACTCGAGGCCCAGAAGACATCAAAATCTAATCCTGTTTTCAGTGCTTTTTTAAAAGAAATAAAAGGTGCCGGTACTCACCATGAAGTTGCTGCATTAAGTGCCACACTTTTAACATTTGGTGTTGGGGGGGGGGAGGTGTTGGCACCGAAAACCCTTGAGTACCCCCAAGAAGAAAGCACTGCCTGTCTTGCAGAATGAACATTACACTTCAAGGGCTCAAATATTTTATTTATTCATTACATTTCTATATGGCCCTTCATCCAAAGATTGAGGGTGGTTTACAAAATAAAAACACAAAAATGTACAGCATACTAACAAAAACAATACCCCTCCCCCAGCTGAAAGGGTCATAGATTGTTTAGTTAGCCAAACAATATTTAGGAATCTGCCTTCTACCCCAGGGACAGGGAACCTGCAGCTCTCCATTTGTTGTTGGACTACAACTCCCATCATTCCTGAGGCTTGGCTGGGGCTGATGGGAGTTCTGGAAGGCCACCGCTTAGGCACTCCAGGTCTGCACTGACTGGCAGCAGCTTTCCAAGGTGTCAGACAGATGTCCTTTCCAGCGCTACCTGGAGAAGCCAGGAATTGAGCCTGGGGCTTCCTGTATGCAATGCATGTGCTCTGCTCCTGAGTTCCAGTCCTTCGTGGGAATACTGGTTGGGGGCAGTTCCCCTTTATCCTCAGAAGCCTCAGTTAGTAGGTGCAGAAAGTGGGATCTCTACCTAAATTGCAGCTGCAGCATCCCAGGAACCCCCAGAATTCCTTGAGCAGCAAGAGCTTAGCACAATCACTCTCTGACAGGGTTTCCCATACTTGGGGCTCCAGCTGTTTTTGGACTACAATTCCCATCATCCCTAGCTAGCAGGACCAGTGGTCAAGGGTGATGGGAATTGTAGTCCAAAAACAGCTGGAGACTCAAGTTTGGTAAACCCTGTTCTATGATATCTGGTCAATTCCATGCAATGACTTACAAACTTCAGAAAAGCCACTGTGTCATTATTCTTGGCCTGCCCTGACCCCAGGATGTAATACGGTGTGGTTCTTACCAGGATGCGGTCAAGAACAGTGCCGCCTACAGCCCACACGAGCACGGAGCCATCATTGGAAGAAGAGAAGAGGAGTCGTGCCTGCACCCAGGACTGGAAGTGGGTGACTCGGCCAGCATGCTCCTTGGCGCAGAGGGACATGCGCCCATTCTCCACGTCCCACCATTTGATCACTCCATCTATCAGGGCAAGAAGGGTGACAATACAGCTTGTTTAGCTAGGAGCTCGTTTCGGAAGGAACGTCTCCAGCTCATTTGCAGAGAGATGCCTTATGGAAAAACCTGACGGGTTTTGAATGAGGGCACTGTGCTAGCATGGCATTCCCTGATGAGAACTCAAGCATAAATTCAGAGGTCATATGGGGACATGAGCTGAAAGCATGTAGATGAGACAGAAAGCAGACTCTTGGTTCAGGTGATAGATATACTGTGTTTTGGGCTGTACTCTTGTTGTGGGGATGGAAATGGTGGTCTATTATGTGATGTAACTGTCCAAGATTTGGGCATGTTGTACAAAGCAGGCATGGAAGTTGGGTAGAATTTAATGCTGTAATGCTCACAAAGAACTGGAAAAATGTACCTCCCTAGCTAGGACTCACCTTCAAAGCCTGTGAGGCACTCCCGTCGGGCTGAATGGTAGCCAAGAGCTGTTATGGGGCGGCGATGACGTTCTTTCACCTTCCGATGCTCTTGCATAGCCATGACTGAGATTAGGGCCAGAGAACGTGGGGAAACACAGGGTCACCCTTCTGGCAGATTTCCAAGGTCTTTGGGGGAAGTCGGCTTGTTTGGCGAGGACCTCCCAATCGACAGAAATTGCGTAACCTGAAATTGCCGCTAAGTAGCAGGCTGGAAGCAGCCTCAGTATAATGAGCCGGCTTGCTAATAGTTTCCCTAGGGAATCTTCTCTGGACCCATTAAAAAACAAGCAAACCCAAGACTTGCCCTATGAACTTTCACCTGCAGAAAGCTTTTATTGACTGGGTGAGAAAAGTTGTACCATCTCAACTTTTCTCCTCTAACCTGCTGATTAAGGGACTCTTGCCCTCCTAGGGGCTTCGTGTCATCCTATAAGAGCAAAGAGGGTCTGCTGAGTCCTGCTCACGCATCCAACTCTTCCTCTGCGCGCGCTCTCTCTCCGCTCCCTTCCTGCGCCCATCTGATGAGGGAGAGGCGACGGTTCCCTCCACAGCTTCCCACCCTTTCCTCAGGCTGCTTCCTTCGCAGTCTCTGGGGAAGAAAAGAACCAAGCGGCAACGCGGCGCCCTCCGCCTCCTTCCCGAGACTTGCCCGAAGACGCAGCGCGCGCACCAAGGCGCCCGGGGACGTTTCTTCGAAGGCTCCGGCTGTGGCGCCTGTGGAGAGAGAGATGAAGTCGGATTTCTGGTTTATACTTCCTGCTCCTGTCTCCATGGAAATGCAGAGAGGGCGGGAAGGAGCCAATGCCGGGGCTCCCGCCTTGCTTCGGCTTTTGGGCGTCGTGAGAGTCCAAAGCAGAGCCGCCGAGTCTCCCAGGCGCCAGGGTCGGCCTTCGCGCGCAGCCTCGGAGAACCGCGCGCGACGTGGGTACCGTCCTGAAAGGCTGGCCTCTTCAAGGGCTCGGCCGGGTCACCTTTCCCTAACACCCGGTGTGGTGCAGGGAGGGCAGCTGCCCCCCTCCCCAATCAAGTAAATAAATAAAAATACTTAACTAACTGAGCAATTGCGTCGCATATAGCTCGGTTCTGCCCCCCTAACAAAAGTCCTGCACCCGACCTTAACATAAATCATGGCTATGCCCATGACTTGCATCTTAATTTTCTTTCTTTAACGAGAGTAATATACTGCTTAATCGACAAAAACCTCTAACAAAGCAGCGTTGTTGTTATTTACTTCATTTATGAATGCTATAAATGGACTTAATGCAGCACAGAGTATGGAGCTCGCTCTTCCTAGGAGGCAGTGATGGCCACCAACTTGGATGGCTTTGAAAGAGGATTAGACAAATTCATGGGAGGAGAAGAAGGCTATGGGTGGCCACTAGCCGTGATTGGCTATGCTCTACGTCCGCAGTTGGAGGCAGCAATGATTCCCAATAACAGTTGCATCTCTCTCTCTCTCTCTCTCTCTCTCTCTCTCTCTCTCTCTCTCTTGAACAGGTTCCCTGGGTCTTTTCTCCCTGTAAATGTGGACAATCAGCTTCATAGTCCTTACAACACAGTCCCTTTTTGTTGCAATAGACTAAGCCCTCTCTGGAAATTGCATAGGCCTTGTATCACAGCACAACTGATAACATTGTGCATAACAGTAACTGCACAAATCTCCCATTATGAGGAAAGACCCCATCTGGTGTATTGTACCTCTGGAGGCAACAACCAGCATGAAGTTCACTGGGAATGTGGATATAATGTGGATATAATTTGAAGCGCCATGGAAGATACAGGTCAAATGAACAGTAAGAGAATGGAAGATTATGAAAATAAAATATGAAAAATTTGGCTGCTGCAGTACTAAAAAGGAATGCAATTTGCAACCTAAACATTTGCTGGAATGTCAGGCATGAATATTAGGTACTAGCTGAAGTACTATATATAGATACAAAACATAGCCAAGTAGGAGAGAACCACCCACAATCATTGTCCAAAGCTTGAAAAATTCAGACAAGTAGCAGATCCATTCTTCCTGCCTCTTGCTCCAGTTGCATGACATGATCTAGAAAAGTGACAAGATGATTGCAGCACATATGACAGGAAGGAGGGGGACGTGGGCTCAGAGCTTTAGCCTTCATGTCACAGAGTCCAACAAAGCTGGAATCGCAAGCACTTGTATGCATTAATACACTTTCCAGGTGGGCCAGAGTCTTTCTCAAGGAACAGAGGCACTGGTACCTTTCTGGCTGTAAGTGTGGAGGGTGAGCAACCCTTTCCCTCTTTGGGACAACCTTCCAGGGCACAATGCAAATAAGTGGGGGGCAGGTGGAGCAATTAATACAATTTTTTCCTTTGTACACTTGGCTGGTTTCCATATACCCTCACACACTCCTCTCCAGGGATGGAAAAACGCGTCAACTTTGGCTTTCCCAATTTTTCATTTTCCCACTCCCACCACCATCCAGATTCCTCTGCCGAGGAACCAAGAGAGGTGCATTTTTTGTACTCGCCCATCTGTGCTACAGGAGGGAGCCAATCCCCTGACCCCACCATCCACCAGCCTATCTCAGATGGCAACATTTTTGTTGTCTGTTGAGAACTACCTGTTATAAATTACCACCAGAAGCATATTTTCCATAAATAGAGTGTTTTCTTCATGACTGATGCAGTCCATATAGAACCTGGGAACTTTTACCTGACAGATTGATAGACGTCACAGGTAATAGTCTGTACATAAATGATGGGTGCATGTGGTCAATTTTACTTTAGACTTTGAACATTTGTTTTTAACCCAGTGCTCACTGCAAGCACTAATTACACATCTTCACAGGCAATCTTGAGAATGTTTACAACACAGCAACCTCCCTTGTGAATTCTCTACTACAATATTATTTGCAGTGCCTCCCATGCTATACCCATGGGGAGTACCATTGATTGTGCTGTGTTTGTATGACATGCTAGAATTTGCAGCACATTCAGGTAAGCTCATTAATGTTCCCAGCCTTGCACTGGATCAGAGATGTCCAACTGTTACACTTTGGGAGGTCAGTGTATTCTCCTCATACTAGGCCAATGCCTGGGACAATATGTTTAGGTACTATAATGCAAGTGGCATTACTTAGAAGGAAAAGCTTCACTGCTCTGGAGCAAATGTCATGTTTAAAGAATGAATGGGTGTTCTGAAATATATCCTCAGGTTGACAGTGATCCTTTACTTTCTCAGAATATGCATAACAACGCAATAACATTACTGTACACAATTACACGTTACAAGTGAAACTGGACAACATTTTTTTTTAAAATCACACCTTGCTTTGAATTTGAAAGAATTATCAGAAGCTAGTTAAAGTTTTCATTGGAAGGGTCAAATCTATCTCAAAGGCTGCCAGCTTTCCCAGTGAGAGCCAGTATAGTGTATGTGTTGGTCCATGTCCTAGAATCTAGGACAAGGGTGGCCATATATCCTACTTTACAGAGGGCAGTCCTCTATTTGAAGGGCAGTTCAATCCAGGCATAGAAGCTAACTCCTAGTAACTGAGGCCCTTTGCCCCCCCATAAAATATTTCAGGGGGCTGCCCCCCCAAGCTGATGAACATTGCCATTCAAATGGTGTGTGTGCACTGCATCTTGTGATTGACTATGTGGGGTGAGGCTTACCTGCCTCCCGTATTTCATTCAAGTTGTCACCCTGAATCCAGGTTCAATTTAAAGAGAAAGGGAAAGCAGGAGGGCTTTTGGAATTGCCAATCAACAGTGTGCATCTCGAGAGTAGACTGAGCAGGCACAGGTCACCTGGCTGCAGTCCTCCCTGTGGTGAGAATTAATGTATTTCTATTTAAATTTTAGTATTTAAAATTGGTATTTCTATATAAAAATTAGCAGATGCAATTATGTGTTCTCTGTTTCTGGCAATCTGTGCTGAAAGTGGCCACCCTAACTAGAACCATGAAGTTTGCTGGGTAATCTTTGGCCAATTGCTCCATGACCTTCCCCACAGGGTAGCTGTGATGATAAAATAGGGGAGGAAGGAATGTATGCCACCCAGAGCTCATTGGAGGAGGGCTGGGATAAAAATGTAAGAAATAAGTGAATAAATCCCAATGTCACGCTTAACAATGTCGTACTGGGCGTCATATCCGTTGCTGCCTGGATTAGAGGCCTAGAGGCACCATATACGTAGTCACAAGGCCCCTGACTTCATGCCAGCAAGCTTGTTTATTAGCTGGAACCCCTTTTGCCATATTGCTACAGCAGAGATTATGAAACAAAGTTCTCACTTTCCTGATGGAGTCTCATGATCTCCAAGGACAGTTTTCTGTGCTGCGTTCGCCTCAGATTGTTGTCTTCATTCTCTCGCTCCTTCTATTGCATTTCTGCTGAAGCAACGCCTTGTTACCTTGCTTCCATCTGTTCAGTTCCTTCCCCTGAGGGGTTTCTTGTGGTGGATGACAGTAAATTTCTTTGCCTTTACCTCCTAACGCTCCGGTTCCTTATCAGGATGCAGAATCCTTTGTGGAAATTTATGCTCTAGCCTTGGACAGTTCACAGAGAGCCCTGGGCTGTTGTGGGTGTCTGTGGGGCTGTGCTCTTCGAAGGAGGGAGTCTCTCTTCCAAACCCCATTTTGAGCTGTGGTTTTGGTTTCCATAGTGACACTTCCTGTGGTAGAGAAAAGAGGTAGTGAGTGCAGCACTGTGAGCGTGGCAGGCAGCTGCACTCCTTCTTTCTCTCCCTGCCGGGGATGCTCAGAAGGCCGTGCTGCAGCCTCAGGGAGGGGCTTCTCCTAGGCTGATGGTCCTGGCTTAGACGGACTACCTGTGACAGCAGCACGAGGCATGCTGGGAAAACCCAAATACCTGGGCGTCCAAAATGGCCGAATGGTGAGTGAGTACACTTCAGTTGCTCCTGGGGGATGATGGCAAGGCCAGAGGCTTGCAGCTCACAAACCTGCAAGGAAATGTGGTTTCTGTTTTGTTTTTTTTCTGTCCCCAGCAAAGGATGCTTCAGGGAAGCAGCCTTTTAAGGATCTGGGTTGTGTGTTTATGCATTTTGGGGTTGTTATTTGTCCAGGAAGATCAGCATTCATTGTTTTTCTCCTTGCATGGCCTCTCTAGGCCAGCTGGGGTGCCTTTACTTTTCATGGATCTCTGACATCCAGGAAGATAAGAGGGAGGCTGTGACACTGATATTGAGGGGAGGCTGGGATTTGACTATTAGAGAAAGGCTAATCTACACTTCATTTCCTTTGAGCCTGGTGACAAGGAGCCTGTTTGCCCCACCTTGTTCTTTGTAACTTGTGGGAGAGTACATGGAAAGCACTCTCTGCGTGGCTGGTCTGTGTCAAGGGTCTGTGACTCTTGCCTTGCTAACCCCTTGCACTCCACACCCGGCCAGATTGGGGTTTTTTGTCTCACACTGAGCTCGAGGGTTTCTGTGGCCTGTGAAATCACAGTACTTTTCAGAGGCTGCAGCCTGCACTGAGAGATGATCTGCCGCGGTGAGCCCAGAAGACCGAGGGCTGGCGTGAGAGTCTCTGAGATCATGTTGCACAACTCAGCATGACTGGCAGCCACAAAAGGCAAGGAAGGGCTGTAATCAGATTAGATAGGCTGACAAAACTGGATGCCGGAGACTCATGTTGTGAGCAAGGCAACAACAAAAAAAGTAACAAAACAAAAAAAGTAAGGAGTTGCAGGTTAGATAAGCTGGTGGTGTTGAAACCTGACAGCTATTTGTTTAGGGAATAGCAGGGTTCGGTAGGAATGTTAGATGGGAGATAATTGCGAGCCAGCCACAGAAACCCAGTTGGTTGCCTGGAAAGTGGCTTTAGCCTTTGTTTGCCCTGGATGGGGGATCCTATGTGGAATTTCTGTGTGGGATCAGCTTGTAGGAGCCTTTGGAGAGAAGTCCATGGTGTGGTTCATGGAAAGATTCCCTTTGACTATGGTGACAACATAGAGTCTTATCCTATTGTGCAAGTTGGGGAATGTGTGGCCTGTCAAACACTGTTAGACTTCAACACCCATCAGCCTCAGCCAGTATAACAAATGGTCAGGGATGATGGGAGCTGTAGTCCAGCAGAGGTTCCCCATCCTTTATATAATGTGGATTCAAATAGAAATATCAGATACTGACCCCAGAGACGGTACCCACATTACTGTTTACTGTGGCCCACCACTGGTGCTTGAAGCTGCGTACACAAGGCATTTGTCACAATCCACATCTATATCCTGTCGCTTTTACTTGAGAAATACTGCTCCTTGGTGCATTTCCCTTCAAACCAGTGCCATCCAATTGGAAAACATAAGCTACATTCATTTCACGGTTAAGCTGAGGTGTGTACAGCTGTTGCACATGTGCAGATGGTAGCTTCATGAGTTCAGGGTGGTGGTGGTTTACAGGCATGGGGAAACCAAACAGGCAATGTGTATCAAGTGAAGACATCCCTGCCCCTTCTCGGCTGTGTACAGCAGTATGCAGTGTGGGGGTGTGTGTGCGCTAATGTGTGCATAATCTATGTGTCCTGGAAGTTTCCCACTGCCATGTAACATTAGGTTGAATTCAACCCTGTTTCTGTAGAAACTGTTGTGGGTTTTCAAGAAGGATTGGCTGCTCACGTTCTCATATGGGGTGTTGTTTTGTCTCGCCTGACATGAGAAGGACCAATCTGTCAGGCATATCCCATCAGCATCCTGCTTCCATTAGTCCTTTTCAGATTTGTGTGATCTGAAAGACATAGACTGAGGTTCCAGTATGAGGAACCTTGTATGTGCCACACAGCAATGGCGTAGGCAAAGGACACCACCAACATCTGTATGCGGTTGGCTCGACTAGACTGTGGCACTGTGGCAATGCTGGTCTCTGTGCCACATCCGGATGGTCCTTGGGATGGGAGTCTCGAGTTGAGGAGTGGGGAACCTTTGTCAGCCTGAGAGCCACATTTCCTTCAGTGGCAGGTGGTGCCAGAGGCAAAGGCAGGCAGAGCAATGATTGGCTAGTGTTTACATATACTCAGACAAGCTAAAGAGGTGTTATTAGAGTTCTTCAAAGGACACATTCTGGTCAGGCCAAAAAAAAGGAAGGGTGCATAGCAGGGCAGGTGAGGGGTGAGGCTCAAGAGGGTATTGTGGCAGCAGAGAGTCTTAGAGGCCAAATAGAAAGGCCTGAAGGGCCACACTTGACCCCTGGGTCTGAAGCACTCCACCCCTGCTCTAGGTCTTGTGTGTGGCCCTTTGGTGCCATTATACAAGTAATGTTACACTTTGAACACTATTTCTGATTGAACCTGGAATGTCCTACTTTTCCATTTTCTTCCCCTCCATGTCTCAGAGAACAATTAAAAGTGGTGTGTGTATATGTGTATGTGTGCAAAAACGGAGTGCTGCTTATACCGAAAATAAATTACCTGCATCAAATGAAGGAAATGGTGAAGCTGGCATACAAAGCCCCTTCCTATAATTCTGAAGGAAAAGGTCACCAGTCCGCTTTAAATCGTTTAATTAAAATGCTTCAGCAGCCAGCCATTTTTTAGGAAACACATGAGGCGTTTATTCCTTTATTGTAAATGGAGACTTACACTGCAAGCCTTTACATGTCTACTCAGAAGTAAGTCCCACTGTATTCAAAGGAGCTTACTCCCAGGTAACTGGGTAAAGACTGGACAACCCTAAGCATTTTTAATCAGAATTAAATCCCACTGAGTTCAATAGGATTTACTCTCTGGTATGTTCCTGATCATTCTCACAGTTTTTCCTCCTCCTCCTCTTCCTCCTCCTCTTCTTCTTTCCCACCTTTTCCCTGACAGGGACTCAAAGCAGTGTACTGCTGAAATGTTATTTCAGTTCCATTTATCAGTTGAAGGTGTATACAATCCCCTCCCTCACATATTTTTTTTCTTTACAACAATCCTGTGAGGTACGTTAGGCTGAGAGGTTGTAATTGGCTCAAGGTGACAGATGTATATGTGTATAAGACATCTATGTGTGCTGGAGATCAAACACGGGAGAAACTTCCTGATGTAGAATAGAATGTCCCAATTTTCATCTGAGAAAATGTTGGACGGTATGGAATAGTATTGGCCCTGGGTCATTCCTCCTGGGGTGCATCTGGGAATAAGGTTACTTTATCCCAAAGGCAGCTGGGTCCAGGGGTGGTAGTGGTAGGCTCCTGGTCTCATGTAGGTCATCACCTCCTTACATTGCTTACAGTGAGTTCTGACCACGGCAGACTTCCACAACAGCACGGGAGATTAGATGCGGCACAGTTTGGCACTTGTCCTGAGGTTGGAAGCTTTCTGGTAGCAGACGGCTATCTTGCATCTGCTGAGTGCAGCAGAATGTCCTGTGGGGCTGTCTCATGCTGGAGCAGAGGCTTCCTCCGTCCCCGGGGGTACTGGCCCCGCTGCATTCTGCCATATCCCTAAGAACTCTTTTGACCACTTTCATCCTTCTCTTGCAGGGCCTGGCTGTGTCAGATGGGGGTAAGTAGGCCGTCTGTCTTTGGGAAGGGTGCTGGGCATGTGGGAAGGTTAAAGACCTGACCATGGCAGCAGGGCTCACTGGCTAGTAGGGGTGGAGCAGTGCAAAGGTTGGTAAACTCTACAAGCAACAGGAAGACCTGCTCACACTCACTCACATTGGCATTCTGAATTACATAAAACAGCTCCAGGCAACCAGATGGTGAAACAAACGTTGCCCAAAATACCTCTCAGGATATTTTGCCAGGACACAGACTGGCTACTTCCAGCTCTCATAAGATTTATCAGCTGGGATACAGAGGCCAGAGATTTGTTGCTGGGCCAACCCCTTCATTATGTGGAGTTAGGTGTCTACCTCAGGAGGATGCTGGGGGTAGAGGGAGAGATGAGAAAGTATTGGATGACAGGACTGCCTATGCCACACAGCATGGCCTGTACCTCCTACACTAGCCTGCTGCCCTCAGGCGCAGTGGAGTATGCCATCTTGTTGAAGTAAGATTCAGTTGCCACTCCAGTTGGTTTCTGTATGTCTGGAGTGGCAAACCTTTGGCCCTCCAGATGCTGCCAAACTACAAGTCCCATCAGCGCCAGCAATCACGTCCAGTTGCCTGGGATGATGGAAGTTGTAGTTCAGCCACATCTGGAGAGCCAAAGGTTCCCCACTCCTGCAGTATGTGAAATGAGGTTGTCATCTAGACCTCTCCCTCAGGTAGCCAAGTTGGGCAGACCCCCAACTCAGTGCCACTCTAGGGCTTGGGAAGGACCTGAAATCTCTCTCTCTGTTCACAGAATTAAACAGCTCGGGGGCTCGGGGCAGTAATAACAGTGTGGACAGTCTGCCAAGCACCCAGAACGCCTCTCCTTCTTCGGGGAAATCTGTAGCACGGTGGGCAGAGTCCTTTGAGACACTACTGCAGGACCGACTTGGTGTGGCCTACTTTACTGTGAGTAAGACACAGCACTTCTGTTTATCATGATCTCCCTCCAACCCAGGGTAGGACATGGTCAGTCCGTGGGGCTTATCTGGTCTCAGGGGCGTAGCTAGCTGGGGGTGCCACGGCGAGCTGCCCACAGAGTCCACCTGGCGGACGCAAGCCCCATGCTGCCGTTTGGGGCAGCATAGGGCCCTGAGCCACCACGTCACACCCAGGAGAGACGCGTGGCTCAGGTGCGCTGCAGGCCAGGCCCCACGGTATGTGCTGCCCCTCGCGGTGTGCCATTTTGACACCCCCTCAGGGATGACACCCGGGGTGGACCGCACCCCTGCACCCTCCTTCCTACGTCGCTGTCTGGCCTGCTAAGCCTTCTTTAGTGGCCTGCCAGCCTCTGACCCAATTTTCTGGTGGCTGCCACTGGGGAAAAAACATGCAGGATCAAGCAAGAGTGGTGCATTTCCCCTCCCCACCATGGTGTGGTGCTATGTAGAGAGGTGGAAGCCTCTCCACCCAGCCCAGTGCCACAAAGGCTGACAAAATGGCTCCTTCCCTGCTAATTAGATTGACTACCTGAAGAGTGGAGAGAGTGGGGGGGTATTTTTATACTCATTGCAGAGCAGGGGCAGGGTGGGGAGGCTCCACTCAGTCCAGCGCCACAATGGAGAAGGAAATGGCTCACCCTTCTGTGAGAAGCAGAGGTACGCCCCCCCCATAGCTGTCAAGTGTCCCTTATTTGAAGGGACAGTCCCTTATTCCAGGCAACCAAAGTACTGTGCAGGTTGCCGGAGGAGGGGGGTCAGGCTGCGCCCTGACCAAAGGCCTGGTGGAACAACTCTGTCTTGCAGGCCCTGCGGAAAGATGTCAGGTCCCGCAGGGCCCTAGTCTCTTGTGACAGAGCATTCCACCAGATTGGAGCCGCAGCCGAGAAGGCCCTGGCTCTAGTTAAGGCCAGCCTAACCTCTCTGAGGCCTGGGACCTTGAGGATGTTTTTATTTACAGACCGTAGGTTTCTCTGTGGGGCATACCAGGAGAGGCGGTCCCGTAGGTACGAGGGTCCTAGGCCGTATAGGGCTTTAAAGGTTAAAACCAGCACCTTAAACCATGTCCCGCTGCTGTCCCTTATTGATAGATGTCCCTCAAATGTCCCTTAAATGATGTCCCTTAAATTTCAAAGGAAGCAGCTCCTCTCCCTCCCTCCCTGCCGGCCAGGGTGGAGGGAGTCTCCAACTGTGTGGCTTGGCTGTGTTGCTCACCCAATAAGAAGTTTTAAAGCGACCGGGAGTGGAGCTTGCATGCCTTGTGTGTGGCTAGTTAATGCAAGCTGAGGGGTTTTTTGAATGCTGGACGCCATTTTGTTGCACGTGCTGCTGCAAACTTTGCAGTGCAAAGCCAGGCCGGGGAGCCATCTTAAGTTGAGGCTGCATAGGCCTTGTGGTGCATGTGATTCAGATTCTATTCAGTTGAACCTCTGGTTACAAAGTTGGTTGGACAGTGTTCTCGAAGCTACCAGCATGAGTTTGACCAGACTGCAGGAGGACAGGAAGACTGGAGTGCCTGGAACAGGTGAGGCTGCAGGTCCCTTATTTTGGCTGCTGGTCCCTTATTTTCAAGGCTGCTGGTCCCTTATTTTCAAATCTGTAAGTTGACAGCTATGCCCCCCCCGCCCCCCGTGTGTATGTCTGAGCCTGCAATAGTATGTGCCTGTCGTAGAGTTTACATAATGTTTTGCTTTGTGTTGTACTGCATTTGTTGTACCTGGCTGAATGGTGCCTAGATGAACTCTTTGATCTACACAGGACACTAAATTGTGAGAGTCCTGGGACAGAGGGAGGGTCGTCTTCATCTCTACCCCCACCTCTTTTTAGGAGTTCCTGAAGAAGGAGTTTAGTGCTGAGAATGTATATTTCTGGCAAGCCTGTGAACGGTTTCAGCAGATCCCAGCTGGCAGCACCCAACAGGTAAGAGCACCACCAAGGCCAGACAACGCAGGTGAAACCCAAAACCAGCACAAAGCAGACTCTTTCTCTGCCTGGGGGGCTGAGTGGATATAAGCAAGTGTAGCTCAATTTGTTCCTAATTTGCCCTGAATGGAATATTCATATTTATTTTTTAACCACAAGGTTTAGAAACTGCCATTTATAAAATGAAGACTTTTGTTTTGAGGAAGCTCAGTTCGGCACAAGATGCAGGCAGCACATTTATCATTGCTCAGAAAACACATTGCCTGATTTGGAAGAGGGGATATGCTAAGAAATGTCAGGATGACTCCTTGCCTCTCAGTTACACTACATGAACTGTGCTTAAAAATAAAACACTAAAGAAATTCTGTACCCGAGGAAGCCAAATTCTTGGCTGAAAAATGCTGGATTCTGCTACCTAGACACATTGTGGAAATTGGCTTTTTGTATACTTCCCTGCTTTCGTCACTAGTCATAGGGAAGGGCAAGGAGCTATGCAGCACATTAAAATACTTCCTTTTGATGGCTTGGAAGCATTCTGAGTTTCCCTTTGGCTTTGGAGATTTTACCAGGCATGGAAGGAAGGAAGGAAGGAAGGAAGGAAGGAAGGAAGGAAGGAAGGATTCTCATAATGTTGAATTTTGCAACCAAGTGAATAGCAAGTTCATACTTCTCTAATATTTGCATATAAGCATTGGTTGCATGCAACCCTGTGACTAGAGGAACCCAGATGCTCTTCTCCTATAGCCTACACTAAAGGAGACAAGAAGAGTGGCACAGAGAGCAGCTGCACTTGGTACCTTGGCTTCTTACCTATAGTAACGTCATAACTCGTCTCATCCCACATTGCTTTCTCCATAGCTGGCCCAGGAGGCTAGGAGGATCTATGATGAGTTCCTGTCAAGACATTCGGTCAGCCCGGTCAATATTGACAGGCAGGCCTGGATTGGTGAGGAGATGCTGGCCACCCCCACCCCTGACATGTTTCACGTCCAACAACTCCAGGTGAGAACAGTCCGCCTTAGCTAGTCTATTAAATGTGGGCTTGTGTGGGAATCTAGGAACACCACCTGCTGCTTCTCCAATCAGTAATGTGAAGCATTGTTGCTGAAGTCTTCTAAGGTAGCAGAAGGGATGCAGCTCAGTAGCAGAACAGCTGCTTTGCATGTGGAAGGTCTCAGGCCCAATCCTTGGCATCTCCAGGTACATCTGAAACCCTGGAGAGTTGCTGCCAGTCAGTGTTGACAATACTGAGCTAGATGAACCAGTGGTCTGACTCAGTATAAGGCAGCTTCCTATGTCCCTCTGAGGCGATCCAAGTCCTGGAGGGATGTCCTGCTTCAGGGACAGTGATGGGCACATGACTAACCCAAGGCTTCTTGCTCCAGATCTTCAACCTGATGAAGTTTGACAGCTACGCACGCTTCGTCAAGTCTCCAGTGTATCAGGCATGTGCGAAGGCCGAAAGCCAAGGGCAGCCCTTGCCAGAGCTGAGGCCTCACTCTCGAAGCGGCAGCCCCCCAAGCGACCATGGCAAGGTACGGGGCCTCCTCTTGAGCAGGAGTGCATGGGGAAGTTAGGCGGTGGCCTTTCCCCACTTTGTCCCCCTAACCTGGTCCAGCATGCCATGAGCTGATGCGCTCTCTCGCTTCCCCCTAGAAAACGAAACTAAAAGCAGGGAAATCGCTGCCGCTAGGAATGGAGGAAGGTGGCAACTTAGGCAGCAGGAGCCCTCGGAGATCCTTCCGGAGAGGGGACCGGAGGGAGCGTCACTGGGGAGGTGAGTCCAAAGCCGATAGCTGGGACACCACAATTGTTCAGGTGACTCTGGGTGGCATCAGGGTGGTTAATAAAGTGCCCGATTGCCATGGATCACATATCCTCCAAAAACTTGCTGATTTTCTGTCCTAGAGGAAAGAAATGGCAGTGAAGGGCCGTCCCACTGGCGTGAGTCTCAAGGCTCTTTGAATTCCTCGGCTAGCCTGGACCTGGGCTTCCTCTCATCTTACGCCACCAACAGTTCCCAGACTGAGGCAAGTGCTTCTGGGACTTATTCAGCCTGGGGGTTTGGGGGGCCAGGGCAGTGAAAACCGACCTGTGCTGCTGTTGCCTACCCCATCCTGCTCGGGTCACGCTCCCTTCCTTGCGCTAGTAGGCGTTTTGCTGTTGCTTGATGTTCTGCCAGGGCTGCTGCACGCTCTGTCCCGCCCAGCCCCCACGCAATCTGTAATGGGCTATGTGACTGTGCAGTGTGGAGGAGTTCTCAACAATGTGCAGTTCAGCTCTGCGAATGCTCCTGGAAAGAGCCGCTGAGGCAGCTCCCAGTATTTTCTGCAGCTGCAGAACCCTGGAACTGTTGAAAAGATGTTGCTTAAAGCCATAGGGAATCCCAGCTGGTGTGGAGGCAATCCTCCCCTCCTGAATACAACGACCAGTGAAAGGAGAACAGGGAGTGACATTATCCTTAGGGAGAAGCATTGCTAGAAAACCCTGCAGGGACAGCAGGGGGCTGAATATTGCCTGATCTGCATAACATGAATGTAAACTACAGAGTACAGACCTGTTCCGATGGAACCAGCTTCTGGGGAGCAAAATAATGATTTTTATTTACTTATTGTTTAGTATATGCACATGCATGTACAGCGTACTTGTTTCTTGGACAGTGGATCAGATCAGATTTTTCTTTGGCTTTGATAGATATTACACATAAATGCCAACAGACCAGGCATGATTCAGCACAGTTCGCCAGGTTCAGTGGTGCTTATTCACAGGCAAATGTGGTTAGAGCTACAGGCTTAGTCTGCAAGAGCGACATGTATGCAAAGGTCTGTGCACTGTATTCATAGCACCAGTGCCAGATCTGCAGAAAGGGGGAGCTGTTGGACATGAAAGCAAGAGTTGCAGACTTTAGGCTGCCAAACCGACACATCTTAGAACCAGAATTTTTTTACACTTTTCTATACAGTACCCAGAATGAGAAATGTAGATTGCAAGAGTAGAATTCTAAAATGTATAACTTCAAACTGTAGGTAGTAGGGAAGGATCATATATTTAAATTGCTCCCCTGTTGTAGCCCCTGCATGCAGCAAAACTAGCATATCAATAGGGAGACTAAGAAATGGGTCCTCAAATGCATGTTTGGGTTAAACGTGGTTCCTGAGTCTGAAAAGGTTGAAGAAACCTGCTATATAGAACCTCCATGTTCAGGAGTAGTAGATCTGACAATACTTTTTGCTGGGAAGCAACAATGCATTGCTGCTTGCATGTTTCCCATAGGCATCTGGTTGGTCACTGTGAGAACAGGATGCTGGACTAGACGCTCCCCTGGCCTGATCCAGCAGGGCTCTTCTTGTGTTTGTATGTTATGAGCTTGTCTGAGCAATTGGATTGACTGTGGTGGGAAACAGGATACCAGACAGACTTTGGGTCTTATCTAGCAGATTTCTTCTTCTGCTAAACATTTTCGCATGATGCAAAATATGGTTTACTAAATAGAGGAAAGTTTAAAAATAAAAGAAAATGGCACCCATCAGAAAAGAACAAGGAGGGCATTATACCCCACCACCTGCCACTTGTGTACATTCTAGTATTCTATCTCCTCATTCTCTATAATGCATGGAACAGCAAATATGTTTTGCACACAGGTGAGGGATAAATGATGTACAGTTATGTATGAAAATTCTGTGTATGGCTATTATCATTGGTACATTTGTCCAGAAGCCTCAAAACACCAACAAACAATATTATATATCAGACCTTAGAAAATCATCTGGTCAGTGGCGTAGCGTGGGGGGTGCAGGGGGGCCGGCTGCGCTGGGCGCAACATCTGGGGGTTAGGGTTAGGGGGCGCAAATCCACGGGTTAGGGGGTGCAAATTACTTGCCTTGCCCCGGGTGCTGACAACCCACGCTACGCCACTGCATCTGGTGTCCACTCTGAGCTTTTATCCTAGTAGTTGAGCCAGCCAAAGAGTGATGCTGAATGTGTTGATTTCTCCTTCCTCCAGAACAACAGGCAGAGCCTGACTGGCTCAGAACCTGACAGTCAGAACCAGCCTGTCAAGTACTGTTGTATTTACCTTCCCGATGGGACGGCCTCTCTGGCCCCTGTGCGCTCTGGACTCTCCATCCAGGACATGCTGGCTGGGATTTGCCAGCGCCGGGGCCTCCACCTGCCTGATGTCAAGATCTATCTTGTGGGGAATGAAAAGGTAGGCCCAGCCTATGGGAGGAAAAGGAAAATAACTTCTGGAGGAATGCCACTGCAGAGATTTTAAGAGGAAGGGATGCTGTGTGTGCTGTATTTCCAGGTCAAATATAGACGGAGACAGCAGCTGTAACCTCTTTCAAAGGGCAAAAACTGTCCAGTTGGTGGACAATGCAGTAGCTTCCCTTGTGAGCTGTGAGTTCAGAAGTCCTTGCCTGAAATTTCACTGCAGGTACAAACCCACCTGAGGCAAACCAACATTCTCTCAGTCTCAAAAGCCATGCGCAACAATTGCCCATTTTATAGGGCTGTTGTAAGAATTACTGAGATAATGAATGTACAGTGTTGTCCCATAAGATCGGCTAGTTGAAGGCTCAGAATACTAATGATGGATAAGACACTGAAGATGGATTGCTAGAGGCACCAATATGAGTTACACACTACCATCATCACTTTTCAAGGGACACCCACTATTCTTCAAGTATCTCCTTGAGCCAGCTAATTTTACCCCACATAGCTGACAAGGAAAGAACTCAAAATGAAATTACTTTAGGTTCACTGCAGGGTGAATCTTTCTTTTGCCCAGGGGTTGGGCCTCTGCATAGTTTCAATTCCTCTGAAATTCAAATAGCTTCGATGTTGTTCTTTACAAAGTGCTGCCAGAGACAAATATTTACCCACCTATCCACAGGTAAGCCCCAATGATCCACCCTGATTGCATATCAAGTATTTCAGAAGGCATATTTGCATTAGGCAAATAATATCCAGCTTATAGCTGATTACAGCGTGTGTACATATACTTATAGGTCATTCCTAATGAAATAATCTCAGAAAGCTTCCTGGTACAAAAGAAAAAAGAAAAAGCATCCTATGCATGTCTACTCAGATGTAAGTTCCACTGAGGTTCAAGGGACTTTCTCCCAGGTAACTGTGTACTGTATAGGATTTCAGAAGGCTGCAATCCTAAACACACTTATTAGGTGACACATCTCTCTGAATTCAGGAGAACCGACTTCTGAGTAAACATGCTTAGACTACAGTGGTACCTCGGCTTAAGTACTTAATTCGTTCTGGAGGTCTGTTCTTAACCTGCAATTGTTCTTAACCTAAAGCACCGCTTCAGCTAATGAGGCCTCCCACTGCCGCGCGATTTCTGTTCTTATCCTGAAGCAAAGTTCTTAACCTGAAGCACTATTTCTGGGTTAGTGGAGTGTGTAACCTGAAGCGTATGTAACCCAAGGTACCACTTTATATTTAATACAGTAGTCAGCATTTAAATAGCATTTCTTGAGCATTCAAAGTGGTGCACGTGGGCTATCTTGGTAACCTTTGCAATAACCTTATAAGGTGCACAGACAAAGGACCGAGGCTGACAGATTGTCAGTACTGGTAGGGGCAAGATTTGAACAAAGGACCCCTTCTGTCCTCAAGCCAGAACACTACACTAGTAACCTCTCTGTTTGCAGAGAGTTGTCACTACCACCCAAGTGCACAAATAATCAAATAAAAAATATGATTCCAAAATACTCCAAACAATTGAAAAATAAACTTGGTCAAGAGAAAGGCATCTTGAAAGATTAGTAGGCATTGTTGAGGCGTCATGAGGAATGTTGGAAAGCGCTGATGTTGCAACAACACATGTCTTGCAACATATGGAAAATAACGGTGGTGTTCATGGACTCATGCTAGGAGGCAATTCATACCTGATGATAAGAAATGTTAACAAGCAAACAAATGTAAACTAGGAAAAAGCCCTTAATCACTAGGATTGTTTTGTCTCATAATACGTATCATGCAGGATTATTAAAGCTATTTTCCCAGACTTGCATCCTTGGTCTCATTAGCTTTTAAACTCATGCACACCTGTGGCCTTATTTTCTAGCTTTACTTCAAATACGTAATGCTTTTCTTCTGGGGGGGATGCATGCTCCTAAACACTTTGTGAATCTAAATTTGGCCTCATTGAGGGGCAGTATTTCAATATGAGTAGGAAAATGAGAGTACCCCTAAACATTTTTTTAGAAAAAAGCACTGCGTATACCCATATATATACAACAATACATCCGTGTTTTAATTTTTGCTGTATTAATATGTCTGCCTTTGCTTGGTTTTTCACAGAAGCCGCTGGCACTGAACCAGGAGAGCTTAGTCCTGGTGGATCAGGAGGTGAAGCTGGAGACCAGGGTCAGCTTTGAGTGAGTGTAATCTCTGTAGACCCCTCCTGCTCTGCATTGGCCATGTATTCTGTAGCCAACAGGCAGAAACTTTGCTAAATCCCTCTTGACATGGGGCCAGGGCTGTCTGCCCCAGGGATGGGGGCCCGTCTTTATTTGTGAAACATAAGCAAACCCAGCACCTCTCTGTCACCCAACACCTCTCTGTCTACTGCTGTTCATGCCACTTTTATCTCTATGCTGCTTTTACACACCACACACACACACACACACACACACACACACACACACACTGCTCAGAGCAGCTTACAACAAGGAGAACAGCAACACATCACAAAATCAACAACTGCAAGAACAATGTTATAGTTGTTGTTGTTTAGTCGTTTAGTCGTGTCTGACTCTTCGTGACCCCATGGACCAGAGCACGCCAGGCACTCCTGTCTTCCACTGCCTCCCGCAGTTTGGTCAAACTCATGCTGGTAGCTTCGAGAACACTGTCCAGCCATCTCGTCCTCTGTCGTCCCCTTCTCCTCGCGCCCTCCATCTTTCCCAACATCAGGGTCTTTTCCAGGGAGTCTTCTCTTCTCATGAGGTGGCCAAAGTATTGGAGTCTCAGCTTCACAATCTGTCCTTCCAGTGAGCACTCAGGGCTGATTTCCTTAAGAATGGATAGGTTTGATCTTCTTGCAGTCCGTGGGACTCTCAAGAGTCTCCTCCAGCACCATAATTCAAAAGCATCAATTCTTCGGCGATCAGCCTTCTTTATGGTCCAGCTCTCACTTCCATACATCACTACTGGGAAAACCATGGCTTTAACTATACGGACCTTTGTTGGCAAGGTGATGTCTCTGCGTAGTAGCAATAATAAAACAGCATGCAAAATGCAACTTTTCTGTACAATGAATGTAGGAACATGACACCTCCTGGCAGGGGCAAGAACAACAAAGGAGATTGCACAGTTTTATCTTAGTCCTGGATGCTCTGGCTACTGCGGCTAAGTCCACTACAAAATAGCTAGGAATCAGGTTATGCCAATGAAATATACGTACTCTGAGTCGAGAGTGGATTTCATGCTCTTTATTCAGCTCATAGTGGCGAGGAGGAATGAATGTCCCCTCAAAGTATCTGCTTATATACATTATTTACACAATGGGCTGCATGTGATTGGCTAATTCCGGAATTCTCCTGTAGGCCAATCAGGTTGTGGATTCACTTCCATCTGGAGCTGGATTGGGTGGCTCCTGCAGACCAATCATACTGCTGCATTGTTCTAGGACCAATCAGACTGCTGCATTCTGAATCCTATTGTTCTAGGACCAATCAGACTGCTGCATTTTGGATCCTATTGTTCTAGGACCAATCAGACTGCTGCATTTTGGATCCTATTCACTCAGTACATAACAGCCAACCAAATGTCAAGGCCTCAGCTTCCCCGATGGGTGTGCTGCCCCTTTGGTATCCCCAATTCAGGCAGCATTAAGGCTTTCAAAGGCAGAGGGGGTGGGTTAGGTGGAAGTACCCCCCCCTTCGATTATCTTCTTCACACTCCCTTGAGTCTCCCATACAGGTACTGGTGGCCAAGTGAGTAGGCCATACGTGTTGCAAGCCCCATTCTGCAAATCTTTTGGGGGATAGCACCCTCCCACCATCTGTGTGAACCTTGCTATATCACCATGAACATAGGTCAGGGCTCACAGCTCCAGAACAGACTCTGCCTCTCAGACCCTAAATCACAAGGGGTTCGCAACATTAGGATTTCATTCAAGACAACCTGCTGGAATATTCTTCTCCCTGCCCACTTTGCTGTGATTCATATATGGGCACAGTATTAGGAAACTACCTTCCTTCCTGCACTGCTTTCCTATGTGCTCAGTTTCTGTGACTTTGCCCATGGGCTTCGAATGGGGGAATCAGAACTGTACTCCTTGGTTTGCTACCATTAGGCATCAGGAAGTGAAGGTTATCCTCCATCTGGGGTAGATTACTGGGGTGCACAAGTTATGCAAGGTGGCAGTGCCAGATGCAGTATACTGTGCCCATTGGGTATATTTCTGATGTTTCTTCTCCTTATAGGCTAGAAATCATGCCCCTGAATAAGACAGTGTGCATTCTGGCGAAATCTACTAAGCAGCTGCGGGAGGCGTTGCAGCCCATCGTGGAGAAGTACGGCCTGGATCTCACACGAGTCCTGCTTCGACGGGTGAGAAGGGTCTTTGAGGAAGTGAAACAGGACACAGAAATGAAGTCTGGGTGACTCCAGTCCAGTGGTGGGGGACCTATGGCCTTCCAGATGTTGTTGGATTCAAAGACCCATAAACCCCAGCCAGTATGGTAAATGGTTAAGGAGTATGGAACTTGGAGTTTCCTCCCTACAGTTTTCCTCTCTGTGGGGTTCTGCAGGGATGAAATTTCTAGTTCCATTTGGATCTTAAGCTTCCCCCCAGTTTCTTTTAGCACCCCTTGCCCAGCACATAGTGAAACGATGGAAATTGCTACCATAAGTTGTAGTGATGGCCACCAACTTGGATGTCTCTAAAAGAGCAGATAAGATAAGAGCTTCCTGTGCCTACTAGTCGTTGAATACCAATTGCCTCTGAATACCATTGTTGTGTTGTTGCACTCACGTTCCACTTATGGGTGCAACTTGATTGGCAACTGGGAGAATAGGAAGCTGGGCTAGATGGGCTTATGGTCTGATCCAGCAGGGCTCCTTTACATTCTTATTAGGGGCAATGCTTTCCCCTTCTAGTTAAGCAGGAGCAAGTAAAGTGACAGGCCAGGAGAGACTGGTACCCAGACCAGAGTCCATGGTAATGTTCTGTTCCAGCTAGATGCAGGCCATTCATAGGTACAGCAGCTCTCCAGGCTAGAGGGAGATCCCCCATGTCTCAGACAACATTAATTCTTTTTGTGGGTTGGTGGGCTACGGCACGTGGCTATTTCTGTTCAGCATCTTTTTGGAAAGCTGCCTACTCTAGCAGCATGTATATAGTGTTGTTCTGGTTCATCCACCCTGACATGAACTCCTTGCCTTGCTGTGTCTCTAACTCTGCTCTCCTGCTGCAGCCTGGTGAGCCCCAAGCTCTAAATATGGAAGAGAAAGTTACCACTGTGGCTTCTCAGAAGCTTGTGCTGGAGTCAGATACAGGTAGGTGAAGCTCAAAGGCACATGTGGTTCATTTTTCTACGGATAGTTGGTAGATGGCTTGGCACTGTGCAGCATTAGACAGGGACACCTTCCTAGGTAGGGAAGAATGAATACCATGTGGATCTCTGGGAGGGAGGGAGGCCAATGCACAGGATTGCTTTGTTTCCTGCCAATGTTGACGAGCAGACCACTAATTTTTGCATCTTCCACTCAATAAGCCTGTTCAATGTTGGTTGCAGAATGGTGGTGAGGAAATCAGCTCTCACTCACGGTGAACAGGCTAGATGAAGAGCCGTTTGTCATAAGCAGTGAGGCCACAGACACAACCACATGTCCCAGGGCATTTATGTGCTGTAGCATGGTGATATTTGTCATGGGTGGGGGATCATACCAGATTTCATGCAGTGTTGCATCCTGCTCCACATTCGCTCTGATCAACCACCTCTGTCTCGTAACTTTATAGGTGGCCCACTAAAGTTGACACTTTTTTCTGGCAGGGCTCCTTTCATAGCTGTGAAGATTTTCTCCAGCAGGAAGCAGCAGGGAAGGGGAGAGTCCCCTGTTGAATGGGCTCTCGTCATACAGCTGCTGAAAACATGGGAGTCGTGTCAGAAAAAGAGAAGGCAACATTGCTACTTCCTCTCATCTTGTACTCCAAACCCACAACTTCCCTAGTCCATGACACATTTGTAAACACAGCATTTCCTTCTTTTTGCCAGTATTCTTGCTAGAACATGGATCGACACTCGAATCATTTCAAGGACAGTCCATTCATGTTCTCTCAGCTCCCAGTTTATAGGCTTCCAGCCTCTTCCATGTTGTCTCCTCCAGGAAATCCCGATCCATTCTCCATCATGTCTTATTCTCAGCCTTCGTTCCAGCCATCCTCCCATTGTTGTCAGAGCTCTTTGTTCTGCTGTCCCTCCAGGATATTTAATATCCATGTGCTTTATTGCAGAAGGGAAACCTCTTGGTGTGAGAAATTCTGCAATAAGCCCTTCTCGTGAGCTGAGTGAGGTGAGTCTTGGCCATGGGTTGTATTACCTTAGCTGGGGCAATTACATGACAGAATGCTGCTCCATTTTTATTTTTAGAAACAAAGCCTTCCTGCATGTAGATCTCAGTGAGAAAAGTTTTGGCCTAGCAGTATTTCTGATAATACTAGTTTTGTATGTCTAGAGATGTCTTTCTGTCCCCCACCCCACCAGCCATGCACATCACCTTGTTTTGGGTTTGCTAGGCTTATGTCATGGTGCTTAAGTAGGTACGGGGTTGGCAGTTTTTGGCTCTGGTTATAATCATGCCTTCTCTCCCTGTGGTTCCAGGATGACAGCTCTGTAGAGACAGAATCTGAAACTGATTCATTTGGTGAGGGGTCCTGTTCCTTCACTAAGCCTCCTAGGAGCAAACAGAATAGACGCACGTATGACTTGGAAGGTAAATCTTCTCTGATGTTACTTGTCAGATAGGGGAGGTAAATAAGATGCTTATTACTGACTAGGAAGCAAGCAATGCAGTCCCAGGGAATTAAAGGGTGCTATGTCAATCTGCATACATGTTGACATGTTTATTTCTGTAAATGCATGCAATTTTCAACCTCACTACTTTGTTGTTGTTGTTGTTAATAATAATAATAATAATAATAATAATAATAATAATAATAATAATGTATTACTTATACTCCACCCATTAGGCCGAGCCTCCCCAGCCACTCTGGGCAGCTTCCAACAGGATATTAAAAACACAACAAAAAATCAAACATTAAAAACTTCCCTAAACAGGGTTGCCTTCAGGTGTCTTCCAAAAGTCAAATAGTTGTTTATTTCCTTGACATCTGGCAGGAGGGCATTCCACAGGGCAGGCGCCACTGCTGAGAAGGCCCTCTGCCTGGATTATTGGCCATTTTTAAAAGAAAGGTTTAAACGTGAAGAAGGCTGTTGAATAGCAAGGTGACAGCTAGTATAATAAATTATTGTTAGGCTGCCAGAACTTCAGCAAATTCCTTCTCCCCCCCCCTCCCCAGGGCTCGTGGATCTGCTGAACCGGGCACAGAGCTGCAGAGTCAATGACCAGCGTGGCCTCCTGTCCAAAGAGGATCTAGAACTACCTGACTTCCTTCAGCTGCCTGAACAAGATGGTGTCTCCAGCAAGACCAGTTCCTCATCCAGCCCAGCCCCTGAGAAAAAGTCCACATCTGAGGCCCCCAGTGCTGAGGCAGCCACCGTCTCTCAGTGTCAGGCCCAGAAGAAGCAGTTAGTATCTCAGGCTTCCCTTTCAAAGCCGCCTACGGGAACTCCATCATCAGCAGGTCCTGCTGGGAAACCTTCAGCCATGTGACCTCCTCCATGACTCCATCCACCAGCCATACTAGTCCCTTCCAGGAGGCCTAGTCAACCTCATGTTCCTTGCAGTGAGGTCAGGTCCCTCCTGTTCAGTATATGTTGTGGTACCATGTTCTGCCTCACAGAGACTCCTCCCCTCTCATAGGAATACGGTCCAAGGCGTGGCTACAGCCTGCAGCCACCTCTAGGGACCCCCAGCCTGTCTTCCAGGAATAGAAATGTGTCCTCCTAATGTTCTGGCTGACTCTCCTCCCTTGGAACTGCCCGTGCTGGCTGGGCAAGAAAATGCCAGTCTTGCGCACTTGCTGTACCAGACCGTCGTATGGTGTCGCTCTGTGTTGTGAAACAGCTGCCCATGGCTGCCCCAGCAGCAACCGCATCTCTGTGGCAGGTGGTGATGACGCCTGTATATAGTTTGTAATTTTTAGTCTTTGTAAAATGTAAGATAACACTGTTGCTTAAGTCGTCCTGAGTCTCTGCGAGTTTGTGCACGGCATCACATGCCTCTCTGGGCAGCGTGGCAGCAGTGGGTTGTGAATGCAGCCCTCAAGGCAGACACACTGGGGTGCAGGAGTTGTGGAGACAGGACTGTTTTGGGGTCTGTGTTGCCCCTGAGAGGTTCCCACATCCTTCATATGAAATGGCACGGCTTAGAGCGAAGAGGACCCCCAAACCAATTCCCAGTTGCCCTGGGATTGAACGTTTGATGTGCAGATCCGACAAGCCCACACCAACTGTACCACAAAATCTCCTTCGCTGGAGCTGTGTATGTCTCTGGTTAGGAGCTGGGTCCCCCACCCCTCTCCAAAAACGGTGGAGGTGTGCTCTGTGGGCAAGCAATGTGTGTGTGTGTGTGTGTGTGTGAGAGAGAGAGAGAGAGAGAGAGAGAGAGAGAGAGAGAGAGATGAATGGAAATTTGGGTTGGAAACACTCCACTTGTGGGGTTGCCGCGCTCTCCCCACGCACACAGAACACGCACATTCCTAGGTCCCTGGAAACCTCTGCAAGCCTTTGCTCAGCAAACGTGTTCTGCTTGTGTGCATTTGCTGGGGAGACCAGCCAGCAAGCGGCGTGTGGGTGAGGTCGCGCGGGGCGGGGTCGCCGTCTCCCGATGCGCCCCATCCCCTCGCCCAGCTCAGTCCCCGAGGTGCTTACCGAGCCTCGCCTCGCATGCTAAGCAAGGCGGAGGAGGCAGCTGCTTCCCCATTGGCTGCCCCTGACCGCATGTGCCGGCCCCTCACCGTCTGAATGAGAGTGGGGAGGGGAGCAGCCAGTGCAGGCGGAGATCCCGGACGGGAAGAGCCACCGGCAGCCCCAGCGACAGCCAGGTAAGCCCGGGCGAGCTGCGTCTTGCGGGCGGCGGCCATTCCTAGAGCAGGGGTCATTCCGAAGCAGGGGTCTTTCTCCTGAGTTGCTGGTCGGCTAGGGGGCGCTCCGCTCGCGAGGAGCAAAGTAGAAGGGGCGCACCTTGTCCCTTCAGCGTCAGGGCTCCCTCCGTTTCTTCAAGTCAACGCTAGGGGACGCTGTGGCACAACGTTTCTGGGATGGGTGGGTGGGTGACATCTCCCTTTGGGGATCTACTTTGATGGTGGGCGCGGGGTGTCCAGCGTTGTTTCCAGTGTCCTAATTTTGTGTTCCTTGCCAGGCTGCGGTAGTTGGCTGCTTGAACCCCAATCCTAACCCTGTAGGCAGCATGATGAGGTCTGAAGGGAGTTGTAGCCCAAAACATCTGGAAGGCAGCAGGTTGGTGAGTGCTGCTGCAGCCTGATAGGAAGGGGAACCAGCGCTGCCACTTACTTATTTAATTTATTGAATTTATATACCACTCTTCATTCGAAAACCACAGGGCACTTTACAACTTGCCCAGTTTGCGCTCTCTCTGCAGGAGACCTGGGGATCCCAGGCTGGAGGCAGCTGTGGAGGTGCGTGAGATGTCCTTAGTATGGAGATGCCTGTCCAAATCTTTTCGAACTGCAGAGTGCATGGGATTTGAAGCATATCTCCAGCCTTCTTGGAGCAAGAAGCACTTGGGCAAGGGAAATTCCAAAATCCATATTCAGGTGCTTCCAGATAGGGGTTTAATTCGCAAATGGGTCACTGAGATATTGCAAACAGGTCACTGGCAACAAGATAAGGGTAGTAAAACAGAGGGGAAACACAGGCTGGTATTTTTATGCTCATGACGGGTCTATATGGACTCTGCAAAATAAAAATGAAAGAAATTGTATGCCTGATGAGCATTGACCCTACAGTAAGCATCTACCTGGAAGCATCAAAGGGCACAACATTTACAAAATCCATATTAGGGCAATGCTCCATAAGGCTAAGAACAGGTAAGCAGAGACAAGGTCATAGGCAAAGAAGGCTGTTCAGCTTCCTCCTCGTCGTCCTTGAGCACTCTGAAAATGGAGACAGGGCAGGTAATTGTTCTGTTGCTGTTGCTACTGCTGCTGCTTTTTTAAACAAGGGGAAGGAGTGGTTTCTGTTGGCTGCTTGGTCTTGGGCTTTCCGTGACTTTTCCTTTGAGGACTTGGTATCAGGTGTGCTCCCCACTCTGAACTGACAAACAGCCTTATTCGTTGGGTGAAGGGGGTAGAGAAGGCTGTGGTTTTCGCTGTGAGGCTGATGGGCAGAGTACAGAGTGGAAGACCATCCAAACAGCAGCATGTGCTTCTTTGCACTTCCATTCAAGTCGGGTCCCCCAACACCAACGTGCTCAGTGGGGAAGGGAGTGGAAGAAGGGAAGGGAAGTATCGGGACTGTTGCCTGGTATTTTACCCACCATACAACCCGTTGGCCATAGTCCAGCCCAAATTAAGTTCTCTTTCCCTCCCCCCCACATTCACTTCACTGGGAGATCTTTACGTGCTTAGCTTTGCCATCAGAATCGGTGTAGTCAATAAAAGTATTTTTAAAAAACCAATGGGACATATATTATCTTGGTCATTTTGGTGGCCCCTTTCTGCACCTCTTTCAGCTCTACAATTTTCTTTGGGAGGTAGGGTAACCAGAATTGCACAGGATATTTCCAAGCGCAGGCACAACATAGATTTGTATAATGGCATTATGATGTCAGTAAATTTTGATTTTTATTCCTTTCCTTGATGATCCTCAACACGGAATTTGCCTTATCCACAGCTGCTGCAATTTGACTGGTGCTTTTTGTTGAGCTGTTTATCTCACTCAGCCCAGTGGTCTCTTTCCTTCTCAGTCACTGTCAAGTAGTTTCCATGGCATAAAACAAATGAGAAGTTAGGATTTTTTCCCCTTATGCCCCAGTGTGCACCACTAGGCACTTATTAGCATTGAAGCACTTTTGCCATTTTAATGCCCATTCAACTATTTGAAGAAATACCCTTGGAGTCCTTTGCTATCACCCCCCCCCTTTTGTTGTTGTTGTTGTTCTGGCCACCATTTATAATTTATTGCCATCAGCAAACTAGGCCACCACTTTGGTCACCTCTAACTCTAGGTCATTTATGAACAAGTTTAGAAGGGCTGGCCCCAATACAGATCCTGGAGAGGGGGGAGCCCCTGTTTACACCCCTCCTTTGCAAGGCCTGTCCATTTTATTGCCACTAGGAAACAGGGAATTTAGCCCTTATTTCCCTTGAGGTTAGTAGTACTATTAGCCATGACTACCCTCCTCATGTGTATCGCAGCCACAAGGAGCGGGAGGAGACTGGTGGTTTCTCAGATGATGTGCATCTTCCTTGCAGAAGCTTCTGTCTGGCCAGAGAAGGATTTAAGAATTACCCACCAGGAAATAGCCATGGAGCTGAACTCAAAGGTACTGCATGGAAATACCTTACACTAAGGAGGCCGAAAGAGGGGAACCTTCCCACAACTGTCACTCTCTTATTCCTGAAGACACTATAAATAAGCACCAGGGATCCTGTAACTCTCCAGATGTTGTTGACTATAATTCCCATTCTCCTCAGCTAGGGCTGGTGGATGTCAGTGGCCCCTGAAGGGCCACCGTTTCCCCATCCCTGCTGCCGATGCTCAGCACCTCTGAGGAAGTGTCACAGGGTGTCACTCAGTGATGGCAACGATGCACAGAGTCCCTCCAAGCATGAAGGAGGTTGAGTGCCACCAAGTGTGTTGCACGTCTCTCTAATCCAGCAGAGAGTCACTGTGCTGCACAGAATGGCATCGTTGCATTAATGCAGTTTTGGATGGGGCTACAGCTCAGGGGAAGAGCCTCTTATTCACAGATCCCAGGTTTTAGTCTCAAGAGTCTGCCGTATCTCAGATGTGGGGGCTGGGAAGGATCACTGCCTGGGACTTTTGTGAACCACTCTATAGTCAGTTTATAAACAATATGGGCTCCACCAGGAATAGCCAACATGGTGCCTTCAAGATGCTTTTGGACTACAATGCCCATCATCCCTGACGATTGGTTATGCTTCTTGGGGCAGATAGGAGTTGTAGTTCAATAACCCCTGGAGGGCACCACCAAGACAGACCTAGGAGGCAAATGTGTGCATTTTCTCCATGTACAGCCAGCCTCAAACAGAGTTGATCAGTGGAGATCCTAGACCTTTTTTTCCAGCTTGCACTTAGCACCCATCAGTGAAAACACGCTGAGAGCTGAGCTTGTTCTGTAATGTCAGGTGCGATCATGCCACTTACCTTGCAGGTCGTATCTTCTTCCTGCATCCACATTATACTGAAAGGCCAGTGCCAGGAGTCACCTTGCAGTAGGTGGGCTGTATACAGTGGTGTGACAGCTATGCAGCTTCCACTTGGAATGGGACAGCCCTGCTAGCCCCATTCACACCCAGGGGCGTCTTGCTCATAGAGGCAAGTGGCGTGGGGCACCAGGGCGCCAAGTTCTGGAGGGCGCCAGGGAAGAGGCGGAGGCTGAATGCGGTGCCTCCCGGCATCAGCTCGCCACCCTTGTCCGCCTTGCTGAAGCAGCACCGTGTCTGGAGGCTCCGCCTCTTCTCCACCGGAGGAGCCGCCCTCCAGCCCTGTAAAGCTGCCAGCAGCACCCTAAAAAGGTCAGCAACTCTGGGAAAGGGGGGGGGCACCGGAGGAACCTTTGCACCACGGCGCCGGATATACTTAAGACGGCCCTGTTCACACCTGCTGGTGGTGGCATGGGAGATGCTTCTCTGTGCCTCAACCTTATGCCACTGTGGTTATGCATCTGCATGCAGCCAGTTGCATGGATCCATCCCAGCTCCCAGCCCAGTGATGAAGAGAGCTGATATCACTGTAGACTGCAGTGCCCTGGGGTTACATCTTGCAACCCAGAAGTGGTTCCTACACCACTTGCAGTGTATATGAATGGGATATCTATCATGAGCTTCCCTTCCTGAAGTGTCTGCAGGAAAACAGAGGTTATGAAAGATTCCAAGGGATAGAAATGGCTTAACGAAGGGCACATTTCCCCAACTGATGTGTACTTCCTGTGCTGCAGGAGCAATCCAGCTCCCCTCAGAAGCAGGGAGTGAAAGCT